ATGCCCTTACACCACACCCAAATGGCCAAATGCATTGCATTATAAAAACAAAACAAACTGAACTGGCCGATGCCGATGAAAGAGACTAAGAAGAGTGGCGTCTGTTGTGTTCTCTCTCCAACCGAAAACCCACTGAGACACTTTTCTCTCCATCTCCCTCTCTCTCTACTGTCATTGATCGCGTCCTCTAGCTGCCGTGTACTCTCTCCATTCCAAAACCCGTTGAAACCCATTTCCCTCCCTCTCACTTTCGCTACTACCATTTCTCATGGCGTCTGCTTTATTCTCAATCTGTCTTTCTCTCTGATATTAGTGTGCGTTTAAAAAAATAAGCACATCAACTGGGAAAACGAAATCATACTGGTCTTAAAGCAGTGTGTTTTTTCATACTTCTCAGTCTGAGTCAGAAATATCCTTATCTTCGTTTCAGGTTTGGTTTAGTTCAGAGAAATATCCAATCTAGCCTTAAGTATTGATCCACGTCTCGATCACGCTATCTTGCAAAAAGAAAACACTGGAACAGCCTCCGTGCCAAAGGATAGCCAGTTTCTCAATTACAAAAGGGGTCAATTACAAGGACTCCCCCTGTACTATGGTGTCTTTGACAAAGACCCTCCGTACTATGACCATGAGATAAAAACCCCCTTAGGTTAGCTTTCTATTGAAATCCGCCATTACAATATTTTTTAATCCTTATAATAATTATTCGGACAATTGAGAGAAAAACATCGTTCATCTTCCCCGACTCATGATAGACTAACAACAGCGGTGGTATCCCTTCTACCTCAAATTTCTTTAACATGGATGGAAAAAGGATTCGCTGATTCCTTCACATGTCTGCTCTGCATCATCCCTCTCTCTCTATCTTATTGGCGCCAAAGTTATTAAAGAGGAGAAGATAAGAAAAGACACATGGGCGGAGCGATTGAGGAGGATGAACGGGAATTGGCACCGGAGATTAAGATGTGATTTCCAATCAGCGAAGGAGACGTCGACAAAGATGTGGAAGAGATTTTCGTCCCTCCTCTCAACTTTTCCATGGTCGACAATGGCGTCTTCCTTTCTGGATTCCCAGATGCAGCGGACTTTTCCTTCTTACAGACCCTTGGTCTTCGTTCAATCATGTTAGTCAAATCTAATTGCCTCCTATCCTTCTCTCTCGCACTTTCGGTTGTCTTCTCTGTAATTTCGATTTTTGTTGTGCTTCATGAAATGTTTCGTTGATTAAGGTTTTGATTTCGTCAATTTGTGTAGATATCTTTGCCCGGAACCTTATCCGAAGCCTAACACCAAGTTTCTTAACTCGAACGAGATTCGTCTTTTTCAATTTGGGATTGTTAGATTATACAGCTTAGATGTTTAATAGACTCGAGACTGGACATACACTCTAGATGAAGATAGTGGTCATGCCATCCGAACTACGGCTATCCAACTGAGCACGGAATGCAGAAATAGTAGAACAGTGAGGGAACTCAAAGTATGAGTTCAACTGATCCAGTTGTAATAGTGGTTGACATTGATCAACATATCTAATATTTACCGATTTGAGCTCGTAATACTCCAATGCCATTTAACGTTTTCTGCAATTTTTTTTATTCTTCCTTATCAACACGAGAGTGCGGTGTAATTTTTTTTCTTCCCTATGCTTCTAACATGCAAGCTCTTTAATTCTCCATATCAGTTTCTGTCTAAAACATCATTTTGAAACTTTTCACTTGACATATGTACACCCAAATGACACATTTTATTTCCTTCCGTGGTGAACTTTAGAAAGGGAAAGGGGAAGAAGATAGATCGGGGGGAGAGAGAGAAATGTGAAGGAATCTGAGGTAGAAGGGATTACCGTCATTGCTATTCATGTATCTTGAGGTCGGGGAAGATGAACAGTGTTTTTTCTCTCAATTGTCTGAATAGTTATTACAATGGTAGTATGGGGATTAAAAAATATTGCAACGACGGATTTCAACAAAAAATTAACAGAAGGGGGTCTTTGTCTCACGGGCATAGTACAGGGGGGTCTTTGTCACAAACCCCATAGTATAAGGGGGTCTTTGTAATTTACCCAAAAATGATCTAGCATGATTTGTAAGGAAAAAATGATTTGACTTGTGTTTCCAGCGACCTTCCTATAAATGACTTGCCATTTTCCGACATTACTACCAATTTTCGGTGACCTTACCTCCACATCATTGGTCATCCAACACTGGTAAACTCATTCTATCTACTTCCCATTAGCTATGGTTCTGTATAAACTTCATTCTAAGGTTGAATACACAATGAGTTTTCAATAATTCTCTTACTCACCACAACTTTTCAAAATGTCTAAAACTTACCATGCCAGTAAGTTTTTATTTTCCAAAACTCATCTTCCGTTAGTGCACCGTTAATGCTTCTTAACAGAGGTGTCCATGTCAGTATAAATAATAATTTTCATGACCAAATTACCCTTGAATGGTGAATTAGAGAAAAAATGGTATTTTTTAGTTTTCAAATTTCCTTTTTTCTTGCATTTTTAGTGTTTTGTTATAATTTTCAATGTTTTTATAAATTCTATTTTTTACATTTTTTTTATTTTCTACAATCTATAAATTTTCCTGTATTTTGTTATTTATTTACAATTTTTTTTGTTTTTCTATAATTTTTTGTATTTTTCTACAATTTTTATTTTCTGATTTTTTTTTTCAATTTCTATAGTTTCTATAATTTGAAAATAATTTTTTATTTTGTTTGCAATTTTATAATTTTTTATATTTTTTGTAATTTCTATGTTTTTATGTATTTTATATTTGAAAATATTTTTTGAACTTTTTCCTTTTTTCATGTCTAAATATTAAAATGGTTATATATTAACACCCGTTAATTTATTTTGTATATATTTCATATTTTTCTATAAAGGTTAAAATGATAATATATTAATACCCGTTAGTCTGTTTAATGTCAAGTTAGTCACATGGTGAGTTTTAGACAATTTCCCTTTAACTAAAGGGGTGTAGATGCTATGATGTTAGCCCTTTTTAATGGATGGGGTTGTGACAGAGTGAGAATGAAATCTCACGATTCCCGGAGAGAGTTGACTATTATTAACAAACTTCATGATATGTTTCAAGAATTGTCAAAAACTTTAAGGAGGTTTCAACAATTTACCTGCCAACTTAAAAAAAACAATAGAGCAATTTACCTGCATCCAAAAATGTTCTCATTTTTATTAGTGTAAATTTCTTAAATTACCCTTATGATTTAGTTAATTGATTAAGTGTAACCTTACTATTTGAAAATTGGCTGACGCCACCCCTACTATTTTTAACAATTGATTAATACTTCCCGGTTAATATCCATTATTATTCCGTCAAAACCCATATATAGATAAGAACACAAAGTATTTAAAATTATTTTAAAACCCAATATTACCCCTCCCTTGTCCCGATTCCCATGGAGCTATAGAAATCAACGTTTATGGAGAACTTACAGTAGTTCAACATTCTGATTAAAATTTCACAATTCATGGTGTAACGTTAAACAAGTGGTGTAACGTTCTGATTAAAATTTCAACAAAGGCTATATAAATCAGTTTCAGCATTCTGATTAAAATTTCACAAAAGGTTGTGGCTGGCAAAACAGGTGGTGTAACGTTAAACAACATAACGACTATGGCTGGCACAACAAATTTTGTCGGATTCGGTGAACCAGTGTCTGAGAACTAGTGTGATTTCTCCTCCATAGATGGTAGAATTTTGAAATTCGGTGTCTGAGAAAAATGGAGGGTCCACCGTCGTCAGTGCCGCACCGATTTCTGGGAAATAAGGAAGATTAGCCGATATTGGAGAAATGCTAAAATCTGACCAGCCGCCTACAAATTGGTCGGATTACAAGTTCATATTGGGAAAAGCGATAGTAAAGAAATCATTTCTCGTTGGTATTGGATGTGATATACCGATGATCACTACCGAACTGTTGTTGTAAATATCTGCACCGTTTACCTTAATACTGTTAAAGGAGCGAACTACAATCTCCTTTCTTGGAACCAGAGTCTTGATCTTTGATCCATAAGGTAGACTCTGGAGAAGCTGAGGTACCACAACAGAAATCATAACAGAAACCGATAGTGAGGGTGAAAAGTCTCGTCACTGGGTGTAAAGACGGTGACACCCGTTAAATTCGTCAGATCTTTCTGTTGCATAGCCATTAACGTTGCTACTGCACTGTAATCTCTGCTTCTCAAAACCTTAACTGCATCATCAAGAAACGGATCATCATCAACCTTCGAGTATAGAGAGGAGGCAACACCCGTCAAATGAGCATCAATGTACGGCACTTGACCCAGAAGAGTATAGCATCAACCCCATGAATTGTGAAATTCGCTTGCACGTTTAACTTAGGCTATCAGATTAAACCTCTACCGTCACTAGTTCGAGCGCGTATTATTTGCTTTGGTAGACCGAAACACGAGCTCCCTCAAATAGTTTGACCTTTCTGATGCTGGGGACAATGGATGCAGCGGATCACCGATCATTTCAGATGTAGCGGTGGTGGCGAAACTGGAGAGAATAAAAGGTAAAATAAGAAGAGGAAGAAGGAGCATGGAGCCCCTTAACTGTATCTGAGATTTTCCCGTTAAGTTCTGCTAGAACAGTTAAAAGATTATTTTCAGATTTGTTTCTAAGACGGTTAAGGCTATTTTTTCTAATTCTAGGAACTCCATCAGGGTTTGATAAATCAGCGTTTTTTTTCTTTTCTTTGTTTTATTTTAAAAAAAAATAATAAAAGGTAAAATAATCTTTTTTTGTCTTTCTGTTAATAGACGCTAATGATAAAAAAGGTATTAGTCAATTGTAAGAAAAAGCAAGGTAGCATTAATCAATTTTCAAACAGTACAAGCACAGTTAGTCAAATAACTAAACCATAAGTATCGTATATACGATGCAGTATCGTATATACGGACAGTAGAAATGTAGAAAAGAAGGAAAAGAAAGAGGGAATAAGAATGGACGGCAGTTCCTCCCCATTTCATTTCTTGTGCTTCTTTAACCCTGTCTGCGAGTCCCCCACGAGCCGTCAAATCAAGTGCAAAGTCTTTACATCTTTGTGAGCGGATACCGAAAGAACCAGAAGAACAGACTCAGAGAGAGAACGGGAAGGTTTGGGAAGCAAAACCAGCAACTATTCGTAGTTCACTAATCCGATCCGACGATCTTCCGTTATTTATTCCGGCTTCGATGAGTGAAAAGGTAGGGAATTCGGGGGATTCAGGGGGCGGCTCCTCCTCATCGGCGTCCTCGACCACGACGACGCATGGGGATCCGGCGGTGGTGGCGGAGAAGCAGAAAGAGAAGGCTCGGGTGAGCAGAACGTCGTTGATCCTCTGGCACGCTCATCAGAACGACGCCGCTGCTGTTCGGAAGCTTTTGGAGGAAGATAGGTCTCTCGTTAATGCACGGGACTATGATAACAGGACTCCCTTACATGTAGCTTCTCTTCATGGTTGGATCGACATCGCCAAATGCCTTATTGAGTACGGAGCCGATGTCAACGCCCTGGATCGTTGGAAAAACACAGTAACTAATTAACTATTCACTCTTTCTCTACGTGTCTGTGCTCTTGTCTGATGTGAATGAACATTTTGCTTATTTGATCGTTTAATCAGAACTTAGAGGCCTCTTCGTTGTTAAGGGTTAGTAATTGATGCTTTTCTTCTCAATTTCTGACAAATGAGCTAGAATTGACTTAAATCCTGACAAATTGGCTTCATAAAAACTGCTTCCTGCCTAATTTGATCTATTGGTGTGTTCTGACGCTCCGTGTTATAGACTCTTAGTCTTCAACCTTCTTGTGATTCACATTTGACATTAATATATACAGGTTGCCACCTTATTTTGCTGATGAAGCACTGTGTTGCAATGAACTGCAGGAACTTCAATAGACATAATTCTGATGTGTTAAGTTATTTGGCCATGATTAACACTCTATCCTTGCCCCTATGTGTAAATTGGTTTAATCACTTTCTTTTGGGCAAACTGTTTACCAACATCTCAGCAGTGGCCTCTAGGCACCAAATTATCGCCTACCCTCTCGCGTACCATGTCACCTTGAAAATGTGAATTGGCTTCTAACTGTTCTTAAAGTGGTTGGATTTGCGAGTTTTGGGAGTCCTCAACTTGGCACTTGGCAGTTCCGTATGCAGATAATAATACAATGTGATTGACACATTCTTCATTTTCTTAGGCAAAGACTTATTGGTAATCTCATGCCTCTATGAATGGCCAGTGTTGGATGGACTCTCCTAAATGGACGATGTGTTGTGCTGTATACATGTCCGTGTCTGACACTCCATGGATTCTGGAGGGCACTTCTACATAACATTTCCTTTTTATCTCCTAGCTTATTTGACATAATGAATGGCTAATCTACAAGATGAATCCATTTTTTGTATCAAATGTCACTTAGTAACAAAGGCAACATTTATTTGTTGGTATACAATGTTAGAATTCAAAAAATTATAATGGTATATACTTTTTCATAGACGTCTGCAAGTCCATGTTTCCTCATCTTGCTGAGTCAGGCTCTAGGACATCCACTGGATTCCGAATCCCATATTGGTACCCATACAACACTGTGAATTTTGTGGTCCATCATCCAGATTTTGTTGGGAAAAGCTGCCCAAAGAAAGAAGCTAATCTTACTTGTGATGGTCAAGATCCTTATCATAAAAGAAATAGAGTACAGATGTTGTTGTTAGGGAGAAAGAAAAACAAGATATGATGAACTCCTTGGTGAAAGGCTCCAAAACAATCTTTTGAGAGGCATATGGAGATCATGTCTTGAGGCTCGCCTCAAGGTGAGGCACAATACCCTGTGGCTATCACTAAAAAAAAAGAAAAGAAAAGAAAAACAATCCCTCTGACTCAATCTTGAGGTTCACACCTAAATGTATAAGTCAAATGTTTCACACCTTAAGATGGCTTATGCCAATAGTATGTGTCTTTTTGCTGCTGACAATATTATTAAAAGGGGAAATGGGGAATGGCAATAGACAGTGGCATTTGGAGGCTTTGCTCTGAGAAACAGGAACTGCCAACCATTTATTTTTTCATTGTAGCTTTGCCACTAAGCTTTGAATTGCGGTTTTTGGGAACTTTTAGATTACAGGTATGCTTTCCAGCATTGGTGGAAGCCCTTTGTATGAGTTGACACCTAAAAGGCCTGAGCAGAAGAGGAAGAATAGTATGTAACATGATTCCCTTGGTGTTGTTGTGGGGCATTTGGGCTGAAAGGAATGAAAGATTTGAAAAAAAAATTAGTACTTTGCAAGTCCTTGTTTATATGAACATGATTCAACCATATAAACTTCTTATACAAATGTGAAGTCCTATACTCCTATGTATAATTCCATACTCCAGATTTTAGGCAATGGTTTTTATTGAAACAATGAGATGTTATGAGGCTTAAGCCTTATGCCTTTCGGCTTACACCTCTGCCTTTTAAAACATTGCTCCAAACTTATCTGTTTTCTATACCGTTGACAATAACCACCTTGTTTGCAAGATATATTCATATTAAGTGTAACATCCACTAATTTTGTACCCTTACCTGCCTTCAAAGTATTGATTTATATTGAAAAAACTCAACAAAAATAGCACCTATGTACAACAAGGGACTATACACTGAGAAATATACCAAAAAGTGTTTATGCATATAGAAGACATCTAATTGTAAAACAGTTGATTTGTGTCAAAAAACTATAAGATAAGGCTTTCCTTTGAACAAACTATGCATGGCCAGCCATGAGTATAGCGTTCCTTTATCTTTTTATAGTCACCAATTCCTCCTAGCTAGCCCTTTTTTTTTTCTTTTTCGACAATTCTCGCTTGCCTTGTTTGCATTTCTTTCATCCCAAATGGCCAGCAGGTAACATACCCCATACCGCATCTAATCTGCCAGCAATCGGAACTCTTTTTTTGTAGTACAATAAATTTGCCACTAATTTATAACATTTTTTTACATGTTGTCTTGTAGTTGCTTTTTATTTATATAACCAAACAAAAAAAAAATTGTTGTATGTTTACACATTTTATTTTACTTTAAATAAGGTAATATACAGTCATTTTAACATTTTCTTGCTTCATCATTGTGAATTGCTTCCATGTATTTATTATCTAAACTGTGTTCCCTGATCACAGCCCTTGGCAGATGCAGAAGGAGCCAAGAAACATAACATGATTGAGCTATTGAAATCATATGGTGGATCATCTTATGTAAGTTTCACACATTGGTTGTTTCATTCTTTCCTTCTTGCTCAATTTTATAGTTGTTATACTTTGAAAAGCTATTCCAGCATCCATTATTATTACATTGCAAGAATAAATCTTCAATGTGTCTTTGATTTCTATTTATATCTGATTTTGATTGAAAGGTCTTTGTTGTTTACATCATGACTCAACTTCATTGATGATATTCTCACTCTTTTTACCTGCTATGCTATTTAGTAAATATATGCCGTTATCTTTTTTTTTTTTTATATTTTTTGGATTAGTTTTGACTATTTACTTATATTTTGCATCCATTCTCATTAAACAGAAAAACCATTGCATTTCCTTTTAATTCAGACAAATGAAGTGATCACCATTGTGAAAAAGTAAAAGAAAAAGAATATTTTTCTTTATATAGCTCCGAGAACTGTTCATGGAAACAATTAAACTCCAAGGTCGTTATGGAAATTACTATTTGGATAAATCCTGTACAAACAAGGGTTAGATGATTACTCGATGTTATATACTGAGTTTAAGAGAATCGTATTTTATCTAACTTGATATCCATCCTAATTTCTAGTTACACCTGAGTAGAAATCCATTCTATGTTAGTATACCATTGTTCTGCAGCACTGTTGTTTGTAAAAAAAATTTCTTAGGTAGATGTGTTGGTTCTTAGTTCTTGCTAGTCTTTGTTATATAGTACACTTGATGGTTGATGCTAATGAAATGCCTATTAAATTCCTTAAGGAAGGTATTGACAGTAAGTTGTGAATTATTTTTATCATATAATTGATTATTTTCAAGCCCATAATGTGAGGGTTTCTGCTGCAGGGTCAAAATGGAAGCCATTTTGAACCAAAACCAGTTCCACCTCCTCTGCCAAACAAGTGTGATTGGGAAATTGATCCATCTGAGCTGGACTTCTCGAACTCATGTATTATTGGAAAGGTTTGCCTTCATTTTCCCCTTGAAAATTGGTCTGTCAAGTAGATTGAGAGGGGCATGATTATATTGACCATATCTGGTAGTTGCATTTTGATGAAACAATTTTTCAGTAACATCAATAATGTTACTGATAAAAAACTGTAGCCTCTGGTAGGAATAACATTTGATAAGAAGGATTTATAGTCTCGTACATGATTGAGGGCAAGTTGAAAGCAATAGGTGCCTATGCATTACCTGGTAGGTTCTACTAAAAAGTTGTTTCATTATTTTGATGTCTTTAAATATTGTAAGTTCTCTTTGGATAAATGATACATCTCGCCTGCCTGTAATACATTACAGACTTAGTGACTTGGTTGGAATTTAAAGAGAGTAATTTGCATATTTCCTTTTCAAATTTTCTTTTGCTCTTTGCATCTAGTATTACATGTAGGGAACATATAGTTTTGCTTGAGTTTCAAATTTGAAAAGTAACCCTTAGATATTCAATATAATATTTTATAACAGCAATATGTTAGTATATGCAGGAAGAATACTCCTCCATGTACAGTGGTTGTGTTTTCTATATGATTAATGAAATCATACAAAATGTTTCATCTATATATAATAATTGTTCTATGCGTAAAGATCTGATTAGGGATCCATGGGTTTGTGATTAGCAGACTTCCACAAAATGACTTTTTAATCCCAATTAGAGGTTGCGTGTGTATGTGTAACTGCCACTTCATAGCTTTCGTTCTTTTTAGGAATTCCTTTTATGGGAGGCAGGAAATTGGGATCACCATCCAGTCTGTGGCGTTGGTGACTCATATGAGTTTTCTTCAATCTTGTCAATTGAGGATGCCCAAATGATCTGGTCTATCCTAGACAGGCTTTTCTTTGGTCCACCAATTGAATGCTTTGTACCAAAAAAAAATCAATTGAATGCTAATCATATGCCGTTGGAGGGTCCATGGCAGGCATGGAATTTTGGTGACCTGTGATGATGCGCAATCCGGTCGGTCCTAGCTGCCGGTTACCTTGCCTCTGACGAGATTGGAGGTGCCTAAAACAAGGAAGAAAATGGAGACTTCCGGGGAGGAACCCGGTTGGAACACTCCAAAGCTCAAGTTAGTGCTCTTGAGAAGGCAAGGGAATGAGGAACTTTAAGACCAGAAAGCGCAAGAATCACATACCTCCTTCTTTGAGAGATGGGGGCCTTTTATAATCACCCTGTACACTTACTTCCATACCTCTGCCAGTTCGGGTATCATTACCTCCGCCAGATCGGGTGTCATTTCCTTTGCCAGATTGGGTGTCATTTCCTCTGTCAGATCGGGTGTCATTTCCTCTGCCAGATCGGGTGTCATAACCTCCACTGCTAGTTGCCAGTTGCCAGTTCGGGTGTCATAACCTCCACTGTTCCTTGTCAAGGCCGTCTCTGCCACGTCTGAGATGGTGGTGGCAGGTGGCCGTTGGAGGGCGGCTGTCGTGTGTCGGACCCCTAATCAGTTAGGTGTGCCGCCTCCGTGTACGGGCTTCCTGGGCGTCAGGTACGGTTGTTCAGTCAGGCGACTTGGAGCCGAAGTGGTGTGCGAGGTGAAGTCTTGTGTTCGGATAGAAGTATGGCCCGAACTGCCCCTGGGTGGGCGGTTCGGATTTTCTGCCTTTTGTGCTCCTTGTAAGGCTCATGACCTCGAAGGGAGAGCTCGGGACTCTTTAGCTCGGAGAGCTCGGGTTGTAGGTTCTTCCTTTGGGGGAGCTCGGGACTCCTTTCCTCGGAGCACGGGTTGTGGGCCCACTGCTGTGCCGAGCTGGCGCTTCTGCCAGGTCACTCTCGGTTGCTTCCACGTGTCGCATGGCCAAGGGGTCGGGTCAAATCTCCCTCCATCAACCTGCAAGTAAAATCAATCATATAATTTATTCTAAAATATTTATTAAATTGTCATCTTTCCCTCTTAACAAGTAGAAAAATCATAGAAGAAAAAGCAGAAATAAGGCATTGAGATTTAAGAAGAAACTTGGCTGCACATTTCTGCAAAACTTTATATTGTTGAGCTAGTTATTACAAGTACATTTTTTATTTTCCATTTATATTAAGTTGGTCAAGCAACTATTTGTAAACCACTTGGGATGTTCTTTCTAGTAGCCAAAAATAAGAAAGACTGGATTATTTATCACTTTATTATTTTGTCATATGTAACTTTATGACTTCTTCGAATGTAAAGGATCTCATGCATGATCATTAGATGTTGGTTCCCACATTTTCTTGTTGACAATACATACAAGTATTCCATTGATAATTCATGCTTATATACAACAAGTTCTCCATTTGCCAAGAATTCTACCCATTGAACTAAAGAAAATGGGTATTGATTTCTCTATGCTAAATGGAAAAAAACCATGCTGCTGGAAAGACATGATACTGGAAGTGCTTTGACCAATCAAAACTCCCCATGAATTTTGACAAATACCACTTGATTGGTTACCACTTTTATGGTACTGGTTGGTTGGTTACACGTTTTTCTGGTATCATAGTAGAACCCATGCTAAATATATTGTTGCTATATACTTTATATTGCTGTTTAAAGGAAAAAGATTTCTGGAGTTGGAAACATAATTACATAGCAGTTTCTTTTAGAAATTAAAGCTCCTCATTTCCTTGTTGGATGTATACTTGTTTCCAGTTATGATAAAGGGTCATTATACAATATTCGTCCCAGCTGTCCTGGAAATTGGGAGGGGCAGACCAGATATGGACCAAACTTAGGCATTTTTTGCACAAACTTGCCACTCTCAACCTCAAATTTGTTTTATCATATGCTTGTCAGCCTGAGAGTTTTACGCCTTAAACTCGACTATAAATTAACATAATTCCATATGTGCCTTAAACTGTAATTTGCTAGTTCAGACCTGGGATGCACTGGCTATGTGGTGTGTTTCAAAACACTATGCAGGATTTGTTTTGCTTACTGTAGCTGCTTCTTGTAGGGGTCTTTTGGTGAGATTTTAAAGGCCTGTTGGCGTGGAACACCAGTTGCTGTGAAACGCATTCTTCCATCTCTTTCAGATGATCGATTAGTGATGTAAGATACTATTTGATGCAGTAGTTCCCTACAATCAGTAAAACAGTAGTTCATTTCTTTATCCACCAATGCAAATTTGACATGTTTGTTGGGGGAGTCCAGATCTATTACCCACAAGACACTACACCCACACATTGGGAACATCTCAGTTGTCATTTATGGGGAGATGTTTCCAATGTACGGCTATAGTGTCTTCTGGGTAGCAGATCCAAGCTCATGTTGGGGCATGGATGGGGGTTTCTTTCTCATACATCCATATGATGTGCATTAGTCTGCAGCAGTTTCTGGTCTTCTAAGAGGGTCTTACAACATTAAAAATTTCATTATCTTAACCCCCCCCCCCCTCAAAAAAAAAAAAGACATGAAAAAAGAAAATTTCTGTTATCAATAAATATATGAATTTCAGGAAAGAAACCACACAAACTATTGAATCAATCTTTTGTAAAAATAATTTGGCTTGTTGATAATTTTTTATGCAGGCTTATTATGTTAATGAACCATTTAGTCCCCTAGTTGCAAATGGGGTCAGTATCTACATACTGAATTACAGTCTGCATTTAACCAATACTGAAGGGCATGATGCTTCTTTTCCAGGAAAGAATGATATTCTATTGAACTTGAAGAGAGCTCCCACATTTCAAATTCTATGTTCAATGGAAGGCCTCCACAAGGAGAAACTGTTGCCAGATATAATAATATTTATAATATAGCAGTTTTTTAGTTTTCTTTTCTAGTGAGAATTCCTTATTTTTCCTGTGTTTTCATTATTCAGCCAGGATTTTAGGCATGAGGTCAATCTGCTGGTGAAGCTGCGCCATCCCAATGTTGTTCAATTTCTTGGAGCTGTTACTGAAAGGAAGCCTCTGATGTTAATCACTGAGTATCTACGAGGGGTAAAATTAATAATTCCATTTTGTATTCCAGTTAAATGTCTCCCTAGAGGATACTTCCAAAACTTTAGCAATTTGTTTGTTTGATGCCGTTGCTGCATCAGGGTGATCTCCATCAGTACCTCAAAGAAAAAGGCCCACTTTCTCCATCAACAGCCATAAGTTTTGCTTTAGATATTGCCAGGTAGTAAATTCTGATATTTTCTTCCTTAATCTAAAAGAAACTTTCTGCATATTCCTAGTGTCATATATTTTTGGTCATTACATGCATGTCATAGCTGATAAGAGAGGGATAATGTGGGGCAACAATTATTTGAGATAAAGATGAATCATGGTTGAATGATATGGTTCCAAGTGGAATTTGTTGGTGTATTTGGAAAGAGTGGAACATTATCTCTAATGGAAAAAACAAATATCTTCACCTTTATGCAATTGCTAGCAGCCTCTTTATGGATTAGGCATTGGCTCTTAAAGATTTTTTGCCTCTTTTGCTTTCTTTTTCTTTTTCTTTTTGAAAAGGCAAGGTAAAATTGTATTGATATGTTCAAAAAGAAGGATACGAATATGTTTTCACTGTACAAAAAGGCCCTGTTCCTATTTGTAAAGAGAGGAACATTATATCTCTAATGGAAAAAACAAATATCTTCACCTTTATGCAATTGCTAGCATCCTCTTTATGGATTAGGCATTGGCTCTTAAAGATTTTTGCCTCTTTTGCTTTCTTTTTCTTTTTCTTTTTGAAAAGGTAAGGTAAAATTGTATTGATATGTTCAAAAAGAAGGATACGAGTATGTTTTCACTGTACAAAAGGCCCTGTTCCTATGAACACCATTAAGGCCTCCCAAAAAAAATAAAAAATCGTCCTTTGTTTTTCTTGGTTTTGCTTTTGATCAAAGATCCTCCTATGTTTTTTTATTTCCAATTTTCCCAAATAACAGTCCGAGGAATAGCTGACCAAAGAATCTGTCCTTTTTTTTGTCATTCCTCCAACTTTCCAACTTTCAAAAAGGGACTTGACTGAAGCAAGGAAGCAAGCTTGGAGAGAAATGGCCTTGAGAAAGTGAGACCAGATTTTAGCAAAAAACTAGCAATTGTTGGTGTGAAAATTTTAATAAATTCTCATGCAACATAATTCACTCAATCAAGTGATTGAGTTTTTATTATTTTGGGTAATGCCCATTCAGGGAAACATATGGATTGTTCCCCTTAATTACATCAAGGGGAACACATAGAATGAGAAGAACAATAGGATACTTAAAAAAGAACTTTTCATTTGCTTTTCTTTTACATCAAGTGTACAAGAATGAGAAGAAAGAAAAAGGAAATACAATTGAGAAACTATACAGCAATACATTTCTCTTTTCTTTAATACAAAGAAAATTTCCTTCTCACTCCTTTCTTCATAATAAGTTGTAGTCAATCCGATGAAATTCTGATTGTAGACAGCCTTACTCCTTGGAATTTTGCATACAAAAAGGGAACTGTAGTCAATCAAATTGAATATTTGATTGTAGACGATTTTCATCCCTTTGCTCTTCATTTTCATTTGAAGGGAACCATGATCAGCCTTTGAGATTTAGGCTGTAGATGGTTTACTCCCTAACTTTGTCTTGAAAGAGAGACCATAATCAACCAAGTAGAGGCACCTGGTTGTAGATGGTTTATTCCCCCCTACTCTTCATTTTCATTTGAAGGGAACCATAATCAGCCTTTGAGATTTAGACTATAGATGGTTTAATCCCTAACTTTTTCTTGAAAGAGGGACCATAATCAACCAAGTAGAGGCACCTGGTTGTAGATGGTTTATTTCCCTCTTTTTCCTTTCTCAAAAGTAATAACAAAAGAGAGAGAAAGAAGGATACATAGAAGACATAAATAGGAAGTATTCATAGAGAGGACTTTCCTTTTCTCTACCTGTGTTAGTGAGACTTTTCCTTCCTTGTCTTCCCTTGAGCACCTCTCTATTCTTCTATCCTTATCTTTGCTTTTCTTAAGAATCTCTTGTGAAAATTTTCTCCGAAGAGTCTCTCCGTGTGTCTGTGTTTCTAGCTTCCCCTTAAGGAACTTAAATAGGGAGTGGGGTGGTTATGCAACTACCCCCTCCTCCTAGGTGAAGGACACCTGTTCCTCCCACTTAAAGATAGAGAACTCCCCACTTAAGAGGGGGAACTCCCATATGGGATACTTTTTTATAATTTTAATGATTTGGCTAGTAGACTAGCTAGCCCACTTATTACAAATTATTTGAATAAAAAAAATGATTTCAACAGCAATACATAAAGAAATGATTAGAAGTCTCTATCACTTGGGTGCATGGATTACGTAGGGAGTTAGGCAAATTCAGACCTTTCCTATCCAACAATACTTTTGTGAGACATCTCTCTTCTGCAGCCAACCAGGAGAAAAACATGATTTTCAATGGAGTAATCCCACTCCATATGGCTTTACTAGAAAAACTGCCGGTGGTTCTGACCTCAGGCCATTGTAAAAAAGATTTAAGTCATTTAACTGAAAAAGAACCAATTTTAGACCAAAGCCATATCCGTTGATCTGGAAGTTGTGGATTTATCTTGAGTTTTGCAACAAGGAGAGCAGGTTAGATATTTGATACAACTTCCAATCATTAAAATTCCTTCTAAAAGAAGGAACCCATAGCACTGAATCACCCTGGGTTGGGAGGCTGCCACTGAAACCTTTTGCAACAGGGAGAGCAGGTTAGATATTTGATACAACTTCCAATCATTAAAATTCCTTCTAAAAGAAGGAACCCATAGCACAGAATCACCCTGGGTAACTTGGGAGGCTGCCACTGAAACCTCTTTATCTAAAGCTAATGAAAATAGATCTGGAAAAAATTCCATAAGAGGAAAATCTGTGCACCAATTGTCTTGCCAAAACTTCACCCTATTGCCCACCCCTGCCTTGTGCTTGACCCCTTTAACAAAGTGAGGGTAAGCTTTATAAATTCCCCTCCAAACACCACACCCATAAGGGCAATATTTTGACCTCAACATCCAGAATGAATCAGCTATAAGTTGGACCAATATTAACTGAGAATATCAATTGGTTATTCAGATTGAATTGAGCAATAGTGTTGACTGCAACATTACAACCGTGACATCTCTCATTTTTGAATTTACTGTTGATAATCAGAAGGAAGAACTTCAGACTTGATGTCTTGATGAAATAGGCATGGAAAATGTCTGTACTTTGATAAGATGGTCATGGTCTGATACATTTGGAAAATTTCACTAAAGATTTCATGAATTTAAAAGAGCCTGGTCTATAATGTTAGGAGACGATATTCTCAAATATGCAATTATGTTCTTTTTCTTCTTTGAGGAAAACTTTGTTGATAAAATTTCAATACTAATCTGAATTATTTTTATCTTATTTGCCAGAGGCATGGCATATCTCCATAATGAGCCAAATGTTATCATTCACCGTGACCTAAAGCCAAGGTGAGGTTGATTTGTCTTTACTGGAAATTCTAATCAAGCCTGTTACCTGTTCGGAAGACTTAATTAATCCATGTTTAGAGATTGTTTACAGCATTTCCAGATGGTACTTGAAATCGACTACTTCATTGTAGTTTTCGTTAGCATTTGAATCCATGGTTTCTTCTAAAATAGAGTAATTTCCAATTTGGCAGAGAGTGGGGTGGGGGGAGTAAATCCCGAAATGAGCTCATATCCATTTTCTCAATTAGAAATGGCCTCGTTTAGATGGCCTTGCACTCTCAAATGCTGTGGAAAACTTCAATGGAATCGGTTCATTCCAGGTGGTGTTGAAACTTGCTGATACTTGTCCAATTTCCCATATTTCTCCTTTTAACCGTTAGTTGCATTATGCCCTTGATGCCTAGGTTTTGGGTTGTGGTGTTTATTTTCAAGCGTCTTTTATTTCTTAATAGTCTTTTATTCTCTTTTTTGGGCATTTAAACTGATCCATGCATAGTGGAGGTTTTTTAGTGAATAGAAACAACTTTTTTTCTGCTATGAGTGAATAGAAGCAACTTAAGCAAATCACTTTGACCTACTTCTTGATATACTCTTTTCCCCCTTTCATTCATAATTTATCCTTCATGAGAATCGTGATGTTCACATCTTGTTTTCAATTAAACCTCCAGGAATGTTCTTTTGGTCAATTCAAATGCAGACCATTTGAAGGTTGGAGACTTTGGTTTAAGCAAGCTCATTAAGGTTCAGAATTCTCATGATGTGTACAAGATGACTGGAGAGACTGGAAGCTGTGAGTATACATCATTCTTACAAAAAAGAGGTTTTTGTAATACTTGAATTTGTATTACTACTAGTGCGATTGTCGTCATCATCACTCTACCAACATTTGTTTTTCTTTCTTTTTCTTTAAAGACCGGTATATGGCTCCTGAAGTCTTCAAGCATCGGAGATATGACAAGAAGGTTGATGTTTTCTCCTTTGCAATGATATTGTATGAGGTAATATCTTCTCTGCAATTTCCTCTCTATTGATGGTTACACCTTGCAAATAAGATGTAGATGTTCACAATTTGGGCTTTCTCACATGATTTTCATGACCTTTCATGTAGATGCTAGAAGGAGACCCTCCATTGGCAAATTATGAACCTTACGAAGCTGCGAAATATGTGGCAGAAGGTCAAAGGCCCATCTTTCGTTCCAAGGGCTTTATCCCTGAACTGAAAGAGTAAGATTTCTAGAATACTGTCTCTGTAAGATCTGAGAATGGTCATTTTGTATTAGATAGGAAATAAATCAGAAGCATTCTGTAATAGTTAGTCCACCTTCTAGATAGGAAATAAATCAGAATTCACAAAAATCAAATGCTTTTAACATTATCTATTGATCCGGCATTTCTGCAGACACTCATACTTCCTTTTTATTGGTCCCAAGCTTTTCCATTGGGTAGTAGGGGTGTTCACATTAAATGTCAAACTGACCAAATTGGCCTGATCCAACCCGAGTTGGTCAATTTTTCAAAGCCACCGGTCGGTTTCGGTTTGTATGAGAAAATAAGCCGATAACTCGGTTCGGTTTTGGTTTTCATACATGAAAATTGAAACCAAACCGATCCTATATGTTCAAGTAATTATTAATTAGTCCCTACTCTATATGTTAAAGGTTGATATATTTTATTTGTGTTTTGTTTGAACTTTGAAATAAAATTGGTTATTTATGATAAAAACTAAAAATGTAAAACCAATACAAATATAATTACAATGGTACAATATTTAATTCAGTTTTGTATAAATTTAAATTTATATTGACAAAAAAAAACAGTTTTGCATAAAAAATTAATCGATTTAAATATAAATTTTGATTTTGCATAAAAACTAAAAAGAAATAAACTTAAATATAAATAGATATTTAGAAATAGATGTTTTAGTTTAAAATATATATAAAAACTGACTAAACCAATAAATTGACCCTTCATGTTTGGGTCAATTTTGCTTCAAGGTCAGTTGGTTTCGGTTTAGTTAATAAGTAAACCGACTAGATCGAATCCATTGAAGAAAATGACTCAAAACTGACCCAACCCGACCTGTGAACACCCCTAATGGGTAGTTAAGATATCTGAAACATGACTTTATGTCTATTTGGCCATCGAAGAGGAAAGCCAGACATTGCGCTATCTGGGCTGATGTACGGGCATGACACAGAAAGAAACGTCTGCAATGCCTAATATGTTATACCGTATATGAGAACCCAGGGCCCATGGCAACAGTTTTGTCATTATAGCACACTGTTACTGTTATAGTTATATTTATTATCCTCCCTGTCAAACATGGGCAAGGGGGCACTGATTTCGATTTTTATGGGAATTTTAGGCTGATAGAGAAGTGTTGGGCTGCTGACATGAATCAAAGACCTTCTTTCTTGGAGATACTCAAAAGGCTTGAAAAGATTAAAGATAACCTACCGGGAGAACATCATTGGAGCATCTTTAATGCATAATAGCTGAAAGGTAAGACGTTGGTCTGATATATTCTGGTGTTCCCAGGTTCCACCATCAACTCTTCACTCCTTTGTTTAGTTATCCAGGTAGATGGTGAAGATTTGCAAAAGGGTAAAATAAGCCCTTTGTGAATGGATCCCGTGATTTCATTGTTGAGGGGAAACTTTGGCTGCCCGGTGTAAGTCAGCATATGCTAACCACACTGAAATGTAAAGTTTCCAAATATCTCTAGCTTTGATGGCGGCATTAACAGCTCTTAACAATAGCCCTGAAAGAACTGGACAAATCAGGTATGGCGTGTGTTTATGAAGGCACCACTAATGTCCAAGAACTGGCCATAGCCATGGGATGCACGGCCACAAGCTTGACAAGAAGGATATAGTGAGGAGGTTCAAGGAGCATTGCTGCTTCATGAAGCTGTCTACACGTGACATCATCTTGTCTTTCATTCTGGGCTCTGGCTATCTCCACTCTCTCCACCGGCAGTGCCATCAAAGTTTTCTACCAGACTCTCTCTGTATCTAATGAAACCTCCACCATTCTTTTCAATCTTTTCCTGCCTGCACTGCCACCACCACATCCACCATAACAAAATCTGGCTGCAAACTGTAATTACCTATTGATTTTTCACATAAACTTCATCCACTCCACTCAAGCTTCATCCATGGTAGGAAAACTTTTAGTCTCCCCTACAGATTCTAAGCTTCCAGTAAAACCACAACCCAAAGAGTCCGACCAACACTACCAAGCTCCTCTTCCTCTATTGTAAAGATGGAATTTTTAATTTTTGATTATTTTAAGATTTAAATTAACAAAATCCCCCAGCTTATCCATTAACGTTCCTGGACATCAAATATACATACCAGTATGTAACACTTAAATTGTTTGTAATCAGCGTAGCATAAGCTGACAATACCGGGCAGCGAGAATTTCCCCCATGGTTGATGCCTAATTATCCTTTGATTCCTCAAACTTCTATTCCATTAGGCTTTTTGCTGTTCAAGGTGCAGGTTGAGGAGGATTTCTGTGCCAGCACATTTAGATATTCGTTTGACAAGGGCTACTCTTTCATTACTGTATACTGTTAATTTTTGTACAAGAAGTTATAAAGCCTAAATAGGCATTATTCATGGTTTGTTTCTAGTTGTCCTCTGAAAGCATTCTAAGTCTCAGATTGTCTTTTGTAAATACTGGAACTTTTATGCTGTATAAGACTGAAATTCTGTACTAAAATATATTTCTAGGATCGTTTTAAGATAATTTCTTTTTTTCCGTACATGTAGATTTTTTATTCTTAAAAAAGACTGGAATCTGGTCCTTCTGGCTGGGTCACTTGACTGATGAGTACGTATCTGTGTTTGGGCAAGTATATGTAGGGGTGTCAATGGACCGGTTTTGGGTTGGACCCCATCCTAATAAAATCCATTTGGATGGATAGGATGGACCAATAAGGCATATTGAATTTGGATGGACTGGATGGACCAATATGACATTGGACTGGACTTGGTCCATCCATAATGAATTTATATTGGATTGAGCCAATATCTGGTCCATTAATAGAAGGTAAGAACATAGGTGTCAATGGACCAGGTTTGAGTTGAAACTAATATAAATTAATAGGAATTTGAACAGATTGGACAGTCTCTGGACCGGTCCAAAATATTCATTGGACTGGATTGGACCAGGTCCATTTGTAATGGACTCACATTGGACTGGACCGGATTAGACGAAACCCAGTCCAATTGACACCCCTAAGTATATGCTTTTCCTACTCTTCAAAATGACATTCTTGAATACACCTCGGCCTTGGCCAAAAGGAAAGGCAAGCGTCTATGGCAAGTATGCCATAGTCGTAATGCCGAGTATTGAGCCTTGACTCAAACCATAAGGCTTTGGGGTTCTCCAGATTCCAGGTTTTCAGCTTGTTCTGTAGTTGATGTGCCTGGTCCAAGAATGAAAGAGATCACCGCAGGGGATCACATTCCCACCCATTTGGCATCCGGGAAAGTTGGGTATTATGTTATTACTCGTTCGTCTTCTTGCACAATAATATCTTCAGGCCCATTCTCTAGGCCAGTCTAGGCCTTTCAGAATCTGGGTCAATAAATGCACAAGGAACTATCCTGCTTATCCATCAATTCCCTGAGTTCTGATTATTAGGAAAAATAAACCACAAAAAATCCTCTAGAAGTGTACAAACCTGCTTAGTTTCAATAACTGGCGATGGCTTGGCAATTTCTGACAGTTTTTCTAAGGAGAGGAAAAAATATCTTATGTGCCAATAGCAGGTACAAATAACTAAGCAGGGGTTGCAGCCAATGTTGTCACACACAAACAATGAAAACATAATAGTCTCAATCCTCAACCATCTGTAGGTCAATTGTTGACAATGCAGTATTTTTATTTGTGCCCACGAGTATGTGAGAGATCAGATACTCGTGAGCACATTTTGAACCGTCAGGATAAAAGTGCTACTTCAGCCCACCCACAAATTACTGCAATGTCTGTGGTCTATCGAAATTCATTTGAATTGAAAATGGATCTAATCATTCAACAAACTTTAAGAAACCCACAGCCCAAGTAAGGAAATTGCTGGGTTAAAGGAGATTGACCAAGCTAAATAATCAACTCAACTAATCTCTACAGCAGAAATAATCAACCAAATTCATTTGACTTGCAGAGTTCTAGGCTGTATTCTTACCTAAATGTCTGGGTATGCTTACTGTGAACAGTCGGAATTATCTAATCAGATGAGCAAGAGAACAAACACTACCTGTATTCATAAAAGCAAGCATCTCTTGGTCTTCTCTCACTCTCTGGTGATCCAACTGTCCCTGCCCACAGGTTTAACACATGCATCTATCCATGTGTATGCAAAGATCACCCTGCCAAATGAGCCCCATGCTCATCCAAGATACAAATAAGAAGTCCCTCCATTGCCTGTAATGACACATCTGCATTAATTAATTTAATTATGTACCTAAGACTAGTTATGGAAGGAAAACACAAAAGCATTTGCATTTGGGAATGACGTTGCTAGATGGTAGAGAAGAATAATAAACTCCATAGGGCTTCTAAATTCAGATCAGAAAGTGAAACTACAAGAACATCACATTCTATTTTGCTTTTCAATGAGCTAAACAACTCTACATCTCTAGAAAGTCGGTGTAAAAACTAAGATGGCATAAAGAAAAATGCAAAGGTTTTGTCGTTTGAAGTTTGAACAACAGAACTTTGTAAGAAAAGGGAAAAATCATGCTGACTTGATTCTGAAAGCCAGGAAAGATGATGATTAAGACACAAATAGACATATATGGCTCTAGAGTTGCCACATATGGACACAAAAAGCTTCTAAGACAAACGTTGATCCCAAAAAAAATTTCTATCTAATTAGTAAAATACTTATTACCGTTGCAAGAGATCCTTCATATATCTATAAGGGCCAAGTTTCAATGGTGATGCTAAGAGTCTATTAGCGTATTAAATCTGAATTGATTCTGATGAGGGATAATTTGGTCATCCAATGATACCACGACACGTGGCATTACAAAACAGTAGAGTGACATCTCGGCACCACGTAAGCAGACCCCTAGGAGCACTTTGGACACTTCGCAACCACCCCGATGACCTCGGCACTACTTCGATAGGCCGAACTGTGAACAACCAGGCAAGATCTCAGGTCAGTATAAGAGGCGACCTACTTCCACAATTTGACCAAACTCTAGTTAGCGACTTGCCTGACGTGTCGAGCGACCTCCCCTTTTGAGTGGATTATTGCCTCCGAATTCCCTGGGATCACGACGCCACATCGGAAGAGCCGGTTATCACCCCATTCACTTCGGGCGGGATCGGATAAGCGTTACCCGCTTACGTGGGGTCCACCTCTGAACCAAATGGACCGGAGATCCTGGATGCGTTTCGTGAGGCTCACGATAGTTCGCCTATATAAAGGCCTCATCTCCAATCTCACAAGGTACGCACGATTTAGTTCTCGCAATTTTCTAACTCTCTTGCTTTCTTGCAAACAACTATTAGCTCACTAACTTAAGCATCAGAGTGCCCACCTTGGGTCAAGCTATGCAAACACTCTGATAGTCACTTTCTTCTAGCTTGACCAAACGACCTACTCAGTTTGACGTTCGAATTGTCTGCCAGCAGGGAGCACCAGATCGCACATCATTAGATTCCATTAATCATCTAGTCTACAAGAATTAGGAAGTAAATGAATAGGGTATACATCTGATCGGTTACGATGAAGGATTATCCATTATGTTCTAATAGCACATCTGTAGTCTTAGAAAAAATACCAAGCTATTAAGCAAATATCTAGTTATAAACCTCGAGATTTATAAGCTTGATGTAGGGATACTTGGCGGGCCTCAGATCATGCCACGTGGCATCGGCTAGATCAAATTCTGGCCGCACATCACCAACTGCTTCCAACCACTCCTAAGGCTAGGTTAGTTATAAAAGGGGGCACTCCTCTCAAGGTAACATATTCAAACTCCCAAGAGAATCATCATTGGTTATTAAGGACTAAGCCTTGAGCCCTCGTCTCTTGTTTGGTCCAATCCCTCTTAAGCACTCAGCTAATTTGACCATTGGAATCTCCGCCCCTGAGATAACACTCGGGGCCTCTTACGTGTTCTCTTTTCTTGTTTAGAGATCGGACATGTCAGCCTCGGGCACTAGCGAATTCCCCTTGTTGCCCTCGGCCTCATATTTGGCAGCAACAAAACTGAAACACTTTATTCAAATGATGTTATAAGTTTATATCATACACTGTTGAGAAGCATGGACAACTGTATCCAATCTGAGACAGAAATTTTTAGCTTTTTGAGTATGAACAACAAAATTCCGGTTGTAGTATTCCCATCTTAAGATAAAAGAAAAAGACATATTGATGATTATGTAGATTTACAAAGATATCTATCCAACTCTCAAGGAAGATGTAGAACATAACCTCCAAAAAACAAAAAGAAATGGAAATTTGTGGTTCAGAAGCTTACTCAGAAGCAAATTATATTCTGATCAGCCATGGAATCCTCTCCTTCCACGATACAACGATGCCACGATGGTACACCCATATTCAAATGTTCCCATTCCAATCACCAGAGACCCCTGTAGTTCAAAATCAGATTACAAGATTTCTTTGATTAACTGGGTCTGCAAATGTAGACATGGAAAAAAAAAACGCGGGGATGAAAAACAATGGGGTCTAAGAGATGAGGAAATATACTTCGGCGATCAATTTTGGTGGCGGTGTTGTCCCAGGTGAGAACCGTGTATTCCGGGCGCTACGCAGCGAGGGTGATTACTGATTAGGTTCTACATCTTGGGTACATACACCGGCTGCTTCTACACCTCCGGCGCGTATCACCATCGGGATTGTGTTTCCCAGCGGCACCGCGTCGATCGCTTCCTAGACCGTCCTTTGCTTGCCTTCAGTACTCCAGCTGCCATTGTTCTCTATTTTTTCTCTCTTCCTCAGTGATCAATACTTGGGTTTGTGGATCCATTGCTGAGGAAGTACGCAGAAAAAGGTACCCGTTTGCAGCAATCCCTTTGTTCTATCTCCCCTGCACCTCTTCCTTACTGGGTAAAACACTTGAAATCTTCGTCATTGCGCGTCCACAGAAACGTTGTTTTGACTGAGTCGGGATCTGCGGCACTTGTTTGCGTTCATCTTGCTGTGTATTAGCATTCAGTCTGTGACAGGTGTCCAAAGGAGCAGATTCATTATTCAAACTCGTTCTGACTTCACGACGTTTTACGTGATTTCATCTTCACCCAAAGCAGAACACGTTGCACACATGCATACGATTAAGACCCAGTAAACCCAATCTTCTGCATCTAATAGAGAGCTACTCGTTTCATCTGATCGAATAGTTCAGGCTCCAGATTCCAGATCAATTATTGTTATACCGCCTTGGAACGAAGTAGTTTCGACGTTCTTGACAGTTCCAGACTCCTGAGCTTCTTCCACAGAGATTGCAACATAAAAATCCGACGAGACTTCCATTCTTCCCTTCGCCGGATCAAAAGAGAAGCAGGGAAAGAAAATTAGAAGAGTCATGGCATTCTACTCGGGAGGTGAGGACGCTGTGGACGACTTCGACGAGTATGATCCAACACCCTACGGTGGAGGGTACGACATTGTCGTCACTTACGGCCAATCTCTCGAGCCTTCCGATGAGATCTGCTACCCGATCTCGTCCTCATCGTCCGATATCGATTGCGAGAGGCCCCAGTACTCTTACTCTGAAGCATCCGCTTACGGTGACGAGGCTCTTCAGGCTGAATACAGCAGCTACAACCGCCCCAACAGGCCAAGGCCCCGGCCTCAGCCCGGCAGGCGTCCTGAGGAAGACGCCGGCGGCAATGAATACGGATATGGGGAGAGCCAAGAAGTGGGAGAGTACGGATACGAGAGCGGGTATAAACGAAATGAGGAATACGGGTATGGCGGGAGGAATGAGAGGCCCAATGACGAGGACGAAGAAGAGAATCGGCGTCGAAGGCCCAGTTATGGGCGTCAAGAGGAGGAAGAAGAGTACCGGAGTCCCAGTTATGGGCGTGAGGAGGAAGAGGAGTACCGGAGGCCCAGTTATGGGAGGAGCGAGGAGGAAGAGGAGCGCCGAAGGTACCAGGAGTCGAGTTATGGAGGGGAAGAGTATGGTGGCCCTCAATATGTAAGCGGATCTGTTCCCTCAGTTTTTTCACTTTTTTTTTTTTTTTTCAAATCATACATATGGTCTTGTGAAGCCAAACTAAATTCAAATTGCTTTGTTTTTTTTTCCTTTGTTCTTTTGGTAATCAAAACATGCTCAGCCTCATATTACTGGTTAATCCTATTCATGGTTTTATGATATGAAGTTTCTGTAGATATAGGGATACCCATTTGATTCTCTAGTGATGATGATCTATCTATGCAGCCATACAATGTTTCTCTTTTAGTCATGGTTGTAGCTGTAAGCGGATTGTGAGCTTTCAGGGATGAAGATTTCTTATGCAGGATAAACCAACCAAAGTTGGTGTTTCTTTGTTGGCATTGGGGGCATTTTATTTCTTAGATAGCAAGTATTCAAGCTTGGGTGGTAGGTTCCTTAGAAAAGCTAGTTGATGTTGTCTTTGGAGCCTGTTTTCAGGATTGGTCAATATTGGTTATCTTCTGCTTGTATTAATAATACTGTATTTACAATATGAAAGGACAGCAAACAGGTTGCTTATCAGAGGAAAACTTCTCTGTCCCAGTCTCAAATGCTTATCCACTGCTTAAGATGTTACCCTAGCGAGGAGGCATTACCTTTTAAAGATCATTTGGAAAATTGCAAACTGATAGCAGACTCAGTTTGGATTGGTCCTATTGAAGGACAGTATTGATACCATATATTGTTTTAATTGGATTATGGATCAAATGATGGATTTATTTAAGAGTTCATACCGTTTCAGTTCTCCCCCATAAAAAACCAAAAGCATTCCAGCTCTCCCCTAGCTTGGTTACATCTTACATGGTAGTTTCAGTCATTTACAAAGTGCTTGTATGTTTGTCATACCATAACTCTTTATTTGGTTATGAAGTATCTGAATGAAAGTGATTTTTCCTTGGTTTAGTTGACAAGGAAAATGGAAAGAATGTTGAGAGAAAATAGGAAGGCAAGTTTTATGTTTGATCTCTTCGTATTTTGTCTCTTAAAAGGTAGAGAAAGCAAAGATTAAAATTGGAGACGAGAGGAAGCAAACTAACCTGGTCCCTCACCACCTCTTAGGACCACACTTTATCGTATCTTGTTGTCCTTTTCTGCTGTGTATCTTTCACTGTTTTGATTGTTTTAATAAAGATTTCTAATCACTGATAACGAATCTCTATTTTTTTCTTTTCTTTTCTCCCATTCTTTGCAACCAATCAAGGGTCCGTTTGGTTTGCAGGAATAGGGGTCTGGAATGGGAATCGGAATGGGCTATTCCTATTCCAACTGTTTGGTTGGGCGGAATCGGAATCTCATTTCCATTCCTACTGGAATGGCATTCCCCGTTTGAGGGAATGGTCATTCCCTGCCCCTCCCTTGGGAATGAAATCTAATTCCTGCTGATTTTAATTCATATTCCCATTCCTGTCTGAACCAAACAGACTATAGGAATGGACCATTCTGATTCTGATTCCGGAGGACTTTGGTTCCGATTCTGATTTCGATTACGAACCAAACGGACCCCAAGTCTAACCATAAAGTGATTTGATTATTTTTCAACCTTCAAGTGAATTTATGTTTGGTCTTTACCTATGGCCTTGGTGTAAAGGATGGATAGGATAGGCATCGTATGATATGTATTGGTTTTCAGGGTTATAGATACGCTAAATACTAGGATTTAGGGATTTCTATAGGTTAAACATCAGAATTCCTGCTAATGCATTTATTTTTGAAATACTAAACTGGAAAAATATAAAAAAAAAGGTGAGCATCGCTGTTTGAACTTTGAACCATGCTTGTGGTTCAGTTTCAGTGTTCGACCCTTGTTACATTCTCTGATGAGTGAATTAAGAATTATTGATGGAAAGGCTCCTTTTATATTTGTTAGTATGATTCTTGAGCATAACTGCATTACCATTAGCAAGCTACTGTATCTGTATGGGGTCTATCTTGGAATGCCAAACAGATAAGCCATCAAGGGTTGCTTCAACTGCAGTCAATCCTGCCACTACAAAAATCATTGAGTGCCACTGCCCAGTGCCCACTTTGGCCATTGTTTTCCCCCCATTTTAGCATTAGAGATCAATCACATTGTGTTTTGAAAGAATAAATGGACCTTATCTGGTTCTGTGCCTGTGTGACCCATGATTATTTTCAAGCTCAATTCATCTGTATAGCTGATATTTATTCTATTCTAATATCATGTGGCAGGGAGACAACAACTCTGATGGTGAGGAAAATAAGCGTCACCATCACAGGCACCATCACCTCAAGCAATACGATGATGAATGAGCTGATGTTTACCAACTTGTGTCCACTTCCCGCTGAATATGTCCACTCTATACAAGCCTACTAAATAAAGAGTTGGGAGTCTGCGGTTTGGTGGACTCGGCCGTTGAGCATTCAAAAATAACTGGTGAAATATGTTACAAACCTACATGCGTTAAGATTTGTGAATAATACAACCCAGATCTTTTTCTGGGTTTGTTTTAAGAATTTCAGATTTTGTGCTTGCCATGCATTCTTGCATCGCTAATAGAATGGAGCCTGTTTTCATTTGACAATCTTATGAATCTTGCTTCAGATTATTCATTCATTAATCAGTGATCCTTGCAGGAGCTTAAAAATGATGAAAGCAATTTCTATCCATAAAATAAGTTAAAATCACTATAAAAAATCCACCTATGAAATAAACCTGGCGATGGCAATATAAACATGGTCAGAGATTTTTTTTCACAATTTGGGATGCTAATCAAAGCAAATGCTAGACGAGTTCTTCCCTTTCCTCTAATTCTACGGTTACCAGCACCTCTGTATCTGATGGTTTTGGGGCATAGCCTTCCAATCTGGCCCGCCTTGTGATCTCATCAACCATCTCATATATAGCGACTGCATCCTTGTGGGTAGAATCTCCTGCCACAAAGTCATGGATGATTCCATCAACTTGGATCCAACTACGACCTGGAGGCTTTCTCACACCCATCTCAGCCATCTGCTGCCTCACGGTAGCAACATCACGCCACCTCTTACCAGTCGCATAAACATTCGACAAAAGTACGTAATAGCCTGCAGCTCCATCTGGTTCAAGCTCTGTCATCAACTGTCGAGCAACATGGGAAGCCAGCTCTACGTCCTTGTGAATCCTGCACCCACCAAGAAGAGCACCCCATACAGCACCATTTGGCTCCATGGGCATGGTTTCAATCAGCTTCTGTGCTTCATCCAATAGACCTGCACGACTTAGCAGATCAACCATGCAACCATAGTGCTCGATCCATGGCTCAATGCCAAAGTCTGTAGTCATGCACTGAAAATAATAGCGGCCCTCGTCAACACGCCCTGTATGGCTGCAGGCACAAAGCACCCCAATAAATGTTATCTCATCGGGCTTAATTCCTTCTTCTGCTGCCACGCTTTGCATCCATCGAAAGATACCAAGAGCTGCTTCTCCGCACCCTTGCTTTGCAAAACCTGTGATCATAGTTGTCCAAGATACGGTAGTTCTATGTTGTATCTCTTTGAACACTCTGTAAGCTTCTTCAACAACTCCGCAACTTGCATACATGTGTATAAGCGCATTATTTAGAGATACCAGTCGCTGTTGGCTTCTGAAAGGGAAAGCCTTGTCACTGTACGAGTGAATCCACCTCCCTGTTTTCAAGTCTCCCAGTTCAGCACAAGCTGATAATGTTGCTACCATTGTCACTTGGTCGACTTCCACATGGGCCCTCTGCATCTCCCGGAATAATGCCAGGGCTTGGTTGCATCTCCCAGACTGAGCACAGCCGGCGATCATGGTCGTCCACGAGACTGTATTTCTCTCCGGCATATCATCAAATATTCGCCTTGCAGCATCGATGTCTCCATATCTAAAGTACCCTGCTAGCATTGAATTCCAAGTCACAACGTTCCTCTCTGACATCTCATTAAACACCCGACGGGCCTTGAGAACACTAGCGTCCCCTCCGGCTATGGCGTACATATTGAGTAAATTTGTCTGCACGAAAATGTTAGCGAATAACCCATTTGACAGAAGTCTCCCATGTAGCTGCTCCCCTACCCTCAAGAACGAAGGTCTCGCACAGGCATTGAGAAGGAACAAGTAGGTGAAAGTATCAGGTTTGGTTTCCGTCGATTCCATCTTATTGTAGAGCTTTACAGACTCGTGCGGCGCTATGCTGCAAGCATAGCCTCTGATCATCTGGTTCCATACAATGGTACTCGGTTTCCTAACCTGTTCAAAAGCTTTCTGGGCATGGATGAGGTTCCCAGAGGTGACACAGAAAGATAATAGCTTGGCAAGGATATAGTTCTTCTGGGAAAAGCCATTTACTACTATCTGTGCATGAATTTGAGTGAGTTCATTACTGCTTTTGCAGTTCTGAAGCAGAGAAAACAGAGACTGTTGTAAAGCTCTAGAATTTGATAAAATGGGCGGATTCACCTCAGCCAAAAACATATGTCGGCAGCCAAATTTTCCAGGCCTGAATTCTGATGCACTTTGGGTCTTTGAAATTGCTTTGATGAGCCATCGTAGTTATTCTTTATTTTTAGGGCATATTCCTGAAACCTCCATGAAGTTTCTGACAACGTTGCAAATAGACCCCTCCGTTAGAATCCGTTAACATTAGCAATTAAAGTGACCAAATTGCCCAAAGAAACATTGAATTTTCACTAATACCATCAAAGTTCAAGTCCTTGATGTCAGAGGCACGATAACGGCCTCTTAGCGGCCATGGCATAATGGCAATGGATAGCGGGGCAGGTGCTCCATTTGTGTGGCCCCATGAAAAATAATTAGAAATTTGTTGTCTTTAAATAAAAAATTATATATATAAACTTTGTTTAAGTGAAACTAAAATTAAAAAGAGCACAAATTAAATTAAATTGGTCAAAATTCAACTCAAACATTATTTATTGGGTTACACGGAATTTGAATGGATTTAAACTATTATAAATAAAGTATAAACTAAAAAATTTATATTAAGTTTTGTTGTGTTAATTTTTATACTTTAATTGGAACTTAAATGGGTTTTAAAAAATAAAATTAATATTTTATTTTTACATTGTTAGATAAATTGGTATTAATTGTTAATACTATTATTTCTATAATATTTTATTACTTATAAATTTATCCATAAATTTATTTTATAAATTTTATTAGATTTACTGAAAAAGTATTTTTTTTAATTTGAATCATTTCATTTGTAAAAATAATTTATTTATAAATTTTAATAATTTCATTTAATTCATTCTATAGTTCTATATATTTGGATTTATATACATACATCATTGAATATCATACCCTATTTATATCTTTAAATTTCAATAAATGTTTTAAATAATTCAATTATTGAATTTAAACATAACAGGTTAGTTAATAGGTCTTTTTTCGTAGCTGGGTTGAGGACAGATTCAACCTCCACTATGTAACAAAACGGACCATTGTTGTTGTTCCAGAAAACAGTGCCACATTAGCGTCATGTAGGAAAAAACGGTGCTCCAAGAAACAACCTTTTGTTTAAAACTATTTTTCCATAGAAAACGGTGCTCCAAGCTACGTCTTAAAAATCGGGAAGACATGGCTTGGAGCAACGCTAAATTTGGCGTTTCCTGTAGTTGCAGCTTGGTGATGCTAACAGGGCATTTATGTGGCAGTGAATAATAGATAGAAGTGCAGAAAACATTTCCTAAAGCATTGGTACTAAACAAAAAAGGTTGTTGTTGCTTCAGGAAACATCCTACCTGGCAACAACGATTCCAAACAAAAAAAGGCACTGCTTTCTGAGAAAATGACGCTCCTAACCATACATCAGTAGCACTAAGAATACGGTACTGCAACTGCAGAACCGATGCCAAACATATACTAAAGCAATTTTGCAACAAAAGAAAAAAAAATGTTGTTAAGATTGGCTACAAAAGACATCTAAAACAAACAATATAGACCAAAGATGAAACATCTGAAAGCCTCTAGCTTGAAACAAACTATGAAGGCTTCTAAAAGCTAAATCTCAAAATTGTGTGCGTTGATTTCTCTTCAAATGCCAAAGTACTTTTGAAATTCTCTCTTTGCTCTACAATGGCTTTTTTTCCCCCAAAAATTGTGTTTTAATGGGACCAAATTTTCTCTCATGAAACCAACCTTTTGGAAACCGAAAAATCCGACTTCAAGACTATTGTTCTCTACAAAGATTTAATGGAGTTTACATTAAATATGAGTTCTTTTGACAGACGTTTTAGAAGTAGTTATGGTGAATTAGGAGAGTGATTGCACTTTACAAAGGAATTGAAACTTGAAACGTGAAAGGAGTCAAAATGCGAGCCCTGTAAGAGGGATTCTCCGTTATTCTCCCTCTGGATAAATCACCATGATTCTCTAAGTAAGAGGAATTAAAAAATAAAAAATTCAAAAATATAGTAATAGAGATTCTGGAGCAAATTTTGAAGTGGAGGAAGGTGATACGTGGTCTTATCGCTTTATGTATATAATATGAATATATATTTTCTAGTGAGTGCATCCCCCATATATACCTACTCATAACACCCCAACCGTGGCATACATACATGATATTTACAAATTTATATCCTATATTTATACTATTACAAAAATTGGGAATGGGGTCTTAGGTTTTTCAAGTCTTTCCTTAATTAAAGTACTCCTCTTATTGAATTTGGTTCCTTTTTATTGTGAAGGCAAATAATGTAATTTGAATATTATTTTTCATTTTAAGGTATTAATTCACATTCTCTTTTATTAAAGTGTTTTTATTTGGCATCATTAAATTTCATTAGTTAAATCCATACTTAATAATTTTAATAGTATAAAAAACTATATTTTAAAATCTACGCGAAAATAATGCCCTTTTTCCACTATGAAATTCAACCATTTGGATCAAATAGGTCAACTCATAATGCCATAATCAAATAATAAAAGTTTAAATAGATAAAAATAAAATTTAGAAAAATAAAAAATAGTATAAAAATTTTATGCATCTTTAATACTATATATTAATTATCATCATCGCCATCATCCAAGCCTTATCCCAACTATGTTTCGTCATTCTATTCTGTTTAATGCCATATTGTCAAATTATGGGAACTTAAATCATTTCTAACCACTTCTACCCCAGTACCCCTAGCCCTTCTACCCCCTTAAATTTTCAGTACACCAATTCTTCTAATGGGTGTTGTTTGGTGGTCTTCTATGCATGCGACCAAACCATCTTAGTTTGTTTTCTCTCATTTTATCATCTATTAGACCTATTCCTAGGTTCTTTTGAATTATTCTGTTTTTGGTTCTATCTTTTCTAGTTTTTCCACTCATCATACACATGCCTACCATACTCATTTTTTGACATACTATTTATTGATTTTCCAACATTCTAAACATCAGTTGGAACCACATTTCCCTCCCAATCAAACAAATTAAACTTGTGATGCCATAAATTGAATAATAAAAGTAATATATATTGTAAAACTTGTAAAAAATGAGCATGTCTTTAATATTAAATATTCATCATATTAAACAAAAATGTGTAAAAAATGATAAATATTATTTAATAAATAAAATGGATAAAAATACCAAAAAATAAATAGAAAAAAAAGAGAGAATTAATGTCTTACCAATAACATGTTGATCTAGTCAAATAGGTTAGTGGTTTAACACTTTGACAATAAGGACATCTAGTTGTTGACCAAGTCAATGGTTTTTTGACAAAGTGGTTTGAGTTCAAGCATACTATTTTGATGGGCTAACGGGTCAATAAATCAAACTATTCAATTCAATCACAAGTTGAAAAACATTGATCTAAGCTACAATTAAGAAGATTTAAAACTGGGCTCTTAAGTTGAAACTTAGCAAATCCTATTACACCATGCTCCGATTACTCATCTTTGTTTCATGTTCTGATTAAAAAGAGTTCAGTTTTCTTTCTCACAGCATGTTGCAGCTGCACATTAGGAATATCTCATGTACTTGTATGTTTTCATTTATGGGGAGATGTTCTCAATGCATAACTATAAGTAGTATTTTTGAACCGTTGCTGACCAGATAGTTGGACCATTCGGCCTTGGAACCATCTAGGAAATCGGTTCTGTTTTACCCTAAACCTGATCCTTAGCCAAAAACTATTGAATTGGTAAGTGATCCATTGATCTAGGTAGTCAAATCATCGACCTGTTCAATGGGTTTTGGCCATTTTTTTTATTTTAATTATTTCTTTTATTTTTTTAAGTTAGAATTGGCTGTCCATTTGAACTAGATGGTCGAACTATCAACTTGGAAACCGGTGGCCATAATAGTTCTAGTTCCAGGTCGATTTTTAAAACTTTGACTACAAGTGTTGTATGATGGGTGTGAGGACCATTTTGTGAGGAAATTTGGATTCAAATAAAAAAAGAACTAAAACACAAATATAAAGACATGTTGGGTTCAAATTGGGTTGGGTTGCCAAATGCATTTCCCTAACATTGTCCTATCCAATTTTTTTGAGGTTGGGTTCAAGCTGACCCGCCTATGTTAAAACCTTGATTGGAGCTACTCCTAAACCAACCCAGTTAGGACAAGGCTTAGATGATGAGTCCAAATTTCCTCTATAGGAACAAAAAAACTTCTAATGCAATATGAGATTCAAACCAATTGAGTAAATATTTACAAAATTGGTTTTTAAAGACCCATCTTAATATGTATAGAGGAAGGATGATGCAGTATAAAAGGAGGCTAATAAGTTCTATGCAAGTTGGGACCACTACAAGACACGTAAGAAGCAAAGATGATGCCACCGACCCAACTTATTACGAAGATAGTATCAGCACAAAATTTCTATCTTAGTTCATATTTACTAAGTTAGTGTCAACACAACTTCTATTTTAATTCATAATTATCAAGTTAACGTCTCATTGTGGTTTCTAAATTTTTGTTTAATTAGGACATTCTTTTTTAGAAATTAAAGTAGGATTCTATTAAGGAGTGGTCTAATAGATATTAGGAAACTTTCTTGTAGGAGCCATATGGGTGTAACTCTATATAAAGAGTAGATAGGGCAAAACTATGACAATTTTTGGTTGATTATCTCTTAAATATTCAGTGAATAGTTGTTCTTGTTTATTTTGACTTTGGTTATTTTCTTTAAAGCTTCTCTTAACATGATTTGTTTCCGAATTGCACCAACTTCCAACATGACCAGTGTCCGCACATCTCATACATGGTGGGTCTCAGTCTTATGGTGAGATGTGCGGAGAGAAATCATGTTGGGACAGTTTGTCTTAGATGATAATTGGAACTGCCAAGTTCCTTGATTCCTTCCAATAAGTTCATTTCTGATCCGTCCTTTTTAGCTTTCCCACTCAACCATCTCAACCACGGTCTAGTATCGTCAAATTCCAAATTGTCTAGTTAAACATGGTCAATATTCAGCATGCACCTTCCCAATTAGGATCAAGATTGTAGAAAATGAAGCTGGGTTGTGAATCGAACATAGTACATATTTTCAAATTATAAATGTCTGCTTTTTTCTGGCCTATTCAATTGATCAAAAAGATATATCACCATTGGAAAAATAGGGAAAATTGTAAAAACCATTTATAACAGATCTAAAGGAGCTTTTTCCTCCCAAAGAAGGACTTCAAATGCCAGATTTGCAAGCCTGCCACTAATAAGCACACCATGAGTGAAAAAATAGTCAACCAATCCATTTTGGAGTTTGCTTTTCCGTTCAGCTCTTGTATTTCCTCCTCCCTGGAAGGCCAGAAGAAAAAAAAATAAACAAATGAACAAGCATATAGTAGAAATAGAATAGCATATGGAATAAAACATTACTCGTGTGAAAGAAATCAAGAACAATTGTCTATCTACAGAAAAAAGAGAAAAGAGAAAAATTCCATATTTCTTACCTCTCACGGAGATAAAACATCTCCTCATGAATGGATTCAACAGTGTCTTCCAACTTCGTCAGCTCTACTTCCATCACCTAAACAAGAAAACAACAGTAATTGGATTCCAACCTTGAAGGCTATTAATGTTGGTAATTGACAAGATTTCTCCAAATATGCCAATACAGAACACTTCTAAAAAGAGTAAAGAGGATACACCATTGAAATTAACAAGGGGAACATTCCCAACATTCAAGGACAATCTAGGTAATTAAACAATAAATTAACCAAATCATCAATTCTGAGAATGTGGTAGAAATCATTACCCAAATCAACATAACGTCCAAATCAGATCAAAGATGAAAGAAGTCAACATGATCTGGAAAAGAGAAAAGAAAAAAATGTCAAATCTTTCTGTTCATCCCTTTTCTATGTAGTGCACCAACCATGTTATTTGCTGATCTCCAAGTCCATGAGAAGGTACTCAGTTCACATAGATGGTTGTTATGGAGTTAACATGGATAGAGAAGTTAACTCATGGCCAATCTAGAAGATCCCCTATCTGATGGCCAATTTATATCTACCATATCATTCCCCCACATTGTTGAAATAGAAGAGGTCATCTATACAGAAACTGTAGGTGACCTTCTAGGCAAACCTATCTGTCCTATTGCATTTCCCCCCTCCAGGTGGATGACAGAGATGCCCATTGGAAATACAAAAATGAAGACTAAAATGAGAGGTAGAAGAGCAGATTGCATGGGATTCAGAGATTAATTCCACTAAATATCATACCATTGGAACCCAGATTTGGCAAGCCCATCCATGAATGCAATGCAATTGTTTTTCTGTGCCCAAGGCTGAATGAATCTATTAAGAAAAAACATGCAAACTGCCTTTGCTATGTTGGGCAATATCCATGTACCCCTATTCCCTCCAACCCTAGCCCCTTCTATTTGAATGGTACAGATCAATTTGTGCCATCTAAAAGAATTCCTGTATTTTTTTTTTTATTTGAAGAGAATACAATAGTTACATGTTTAGGATGGTTATGTTCAATCCAAATACAAAACAAGAAAAAGGTGCTAGACCTTCTCCTCTTCATATCCCCCAAACAAACCTTTTCTACTGTTTCGAAGAACATCTTCTAACCTCCTTAAACAGTATCATGATGATGTTTGGGATAACTCCCCATATAACAATACATTTTGATATTAGCCCCTCATTCTTCCAATATGCTTATAGGTCAATGTAATATTAAACAAATCCGGGCACCACAGTGGAGAAATCCTATATGACAGGTACTAGTAATTCAACACCATTGCTTTCTTTGTACAATCATAAAATCTCAGGCTGACAACTGTGAAAACACAGGTTAAAGTCTGAGAACATTATTTTGTGCCAAAAAAAATGTTGAACAGTATCCAGTGACTAATCCATTGGCAGGTTATATCTAATACCAATTGGGATCTGCTTCCTAGGCCTTAAACTCTAAATGCTACATGTTCATGTGCACAAAAGCTTATCTAGGATTTCTTCATCTCATCTGAACAACTCAACGACGTGGAAGAATGGAGCAAATACTCCTTTTGAACTCAAGACAATCGTTTGGGCTATGCTTTGACAAATTTGCAACTAGATTCAATAGGACAAAATTCCTTAACAAAACCTAAAACTAACTTGTACTTGACGCAAACATAATGAACACATATATATTAAAATGACCAAATTGCACAATTCATCTGTAATTTAAAACAGGATAAGGGATGCAGAGTTGGTTTACCACAATCTGATGCACTAAGAAATAAAATTAGAAAATAACAATAGAAGCTAGGTAAGATCAACAAGGACAAATGCATCATCATAAACATACCATTTTAATTGCAAAGTTCCACAAAAAATACTTGATTCCTGTTGCACATTTTTTAAGCTCAACCCACATGTATGAGAGGGCAGATATGGCACTTGGACCAGTGTTGTATGGACTCTTCTAAAATGGATACAAATTCTGCATTAAACAACCATCAGATTCGGACACTTGAGGAGACTTCTTTGTATGGTATACTTCTTGTTTATTATAATAGGTTCCATTTGTTTTGACAGAATGTTTCTAGTTAACAGAGACAAACTCAAGCAATCATCTATTGGTTTATGGAGATAGAATTTACAAGAATGGGAACTTTTTACTATATGTAGTGCTCTACTTTTCTCCTTTTGCAAACTTGTATATGTATTCTATTCATATTAATAAAATTTGATTGTTACCGATAAAAAAAAAAGATATGGAAACTTTTTCTAATAGTAAATATTGATTTTGGATGTACCAGAGTCCGTGTCTCTTCTATTGCCAAGTCAGACTCAGTCTGATTTTCATGTCACTGCAAGAGGAGCTGGGAAGTCTTCAAAGCAGTTCTACATGGACATGGGAACCAGAATTCAACACATATCCAGGAATCCAACTTGGCAAGACAAAGAAACAAGGATTCACAAAAGTGTCTATAGAAAAAGTATAATCTATTAAAATAATCCATTATTTTGTTATTTTTAGCATTAAACTTGTAGAAAAGGTCTGAAAAGAGTATTTTTGTTACTTAACAACATTTTATAGGAAAAATGGCATTCGTTGTACATATATCAGAGTTGTCCATCTATGTTGAATAAGCAAGGAGAAAAGAAAAAAATGTCACATAAAAGTGTTCATAAAGAATTCATGGAGTGTCAGAGTCCAATATGTGTCCAACATAGACACGTCATCCATTTAGGAGAGTCCATGTAACACTGCTCCAAATTAAGAGAACTATTAGGTCAAACCAAGTCTCTTAAACCAGCACTACAGTGCCCATCCAATGATAATGGGACGTGGTCTATAGGTGGAGGAGACAGGCCTGGTGATTGACTGCATGGCAGAATCAAGAAAGGAAAGTTGAAATTTGAAAAGAGATCAGATTTCATCTTCACAAAACTTGTACTCACAGTGTCCTCACAATAATTGCAGCTGTGCCCATCCAATGATAATGGGACGTGGTCTATAGGTGGAGGAGACAGGCCTGGTGATTGACTGCATGGCAGAATCAAGAAAGGAAAGTTGAAATTTGAAAAGAGATCAGATTTCATCTTCACAAAACTTGTACTCACAGTGTCCTCACAATAATTGCAGCTGTGCATTGGGAACAGCTCCGATTCTCCGCACTTGTATGCTTTCATTAATGGGAAGATGTAACACGGCTGGAAGTGTTGTGAGGAAATTTGGGTTCAGTTAAAAAAGGAATTGGGATCTGCTCCTCACACTGATTTCACAGTCACAACCCACCTTGTATTTGGAACATCTCTTATGAACAAAAACATACAAGTATGGGAGATGTTGATAGCTGCTGTGAGGTTGGTGTGAGGAGCAGATATGAACTCTTAAAAAAATGGGTATCCCACCACATCTCCGCCCCACAACGCCCCACAGCACATTCCCGCCGCATATTGGGAACATCTCTCGATGATGACATCATCGTAACTAGTACTATCATCCGGAGATATTCACAATACACGGCAGGGATGTGCTGTGGGGCGGAGGTGTGAACTCGGGCACCACACAACTTTTCGAAAAGGAATACCTTTTCAGAAAATCCTTTCAAAAGTAAGCTAAAATCACTCTTTTAACCAACGTTTTGTTCTAAAGGGAAGATACGAGTCCTTTATTAGGGCACGGCCATAAAGTGGACATTCTGATGATTACTCTCTATTAGGTGAAAACTGAAAAGGTGCCACCACATGAGGCCCTTTCTGCCTATCCTGTATCCAATACTCCATGAATAAAGAAGAGTTCAGTAATAGAGGACATTATTAGTCCTCAGCTGAAAAGAATACCTAGAATAGAATAGTAGGGTTCCCCAGTAGTTTCAATTTGAGAGCCACCTTGTTCCTTCCCCTAGGCAATCCCCTCTGCACTTCAACACGGACCAAGCCACCCTGTATGCGCATAGGAAGTCTCAGCTCTGAAACCTAAATTGTTGGGCGTGGCCGGAAATTCACATCACCAACTCTTTACCAATTAACTACATATTAGTCTGATTATATCAGAGTGAAATATACTACGGTTATTTAGAGCTAAATTTTACATTGAAAACTTCAACAACATCCAAATCCCTTACCAGACATTCCTAATTAATTCGACATGGAGGAATATATGCTCCAGGAAATAAGACTCCCTATCTCCCTTTCGTTATTGTTTATCAATATATTTTTTTCCCCTTCAGGCCAAGAGGGGGATTCAATTGGTTGCCTACGTGCTAGCATCTTAGAATTTAATCAGCGATTCAATTTTTTAGCAACACACCCAGCCACATTCACTTTCGTCGAAGGTACAAAATTTTCAGAGATTCGGTATTCGTTGAACAAATTAAATGAAGCAAAACAACGAACTCGTTTAACAGGAAAAACGTGAAAGAAGTGGAAAAGAAAATGATATAAACAGAGCAGATATTTCTTACATTGAGCTGCTCTTTGTTAGCTACGTCAGGCCAATCCTTGGCAGCAATTCCGATCTTCCACTCGAAATCAACCGTCATTGTAATCGGGGGCTTGTGCTCAGGAGCCCAAAAACATGTCATGTGGTCACCGGCCTCGGCCGCAGTAAAAGCAAACTGTCCAGATTCCACATTCTCCCCAAAATGATAATTGTTGTTGTAAGTGGAAGTAACCTGAGAAACCCATCACCATATTCACTTCAACCCAAAATAAATATCCCTAATTGCATAAGAAAATCGAAAATCTGAATTCGAAATCTTCTTACTCGAACGGTAACCTTGTGTGAATCGGGCAAGGGGTGCCCCTCGTTTGGATTAATGATGTTATACTGCCCGACCGACATGGTGTTGCTCTTGATATCTTCTGCGATGCACTTACTGTGACCGGATTGTAGATCGAAACGAAGCGATTGAACAGCAGGGAAGAGAAACCCTAGAATAGGAAGCAGAAACAATCCAGCCCTGCCCATCGTCGTAGATATCCCGGATTAACAAATTATAATACAAAATGGAGACGCTCGATCGCTTGAATGACGATAAGATATATTAAAGAGAAGACTTGATAATACAGTTTAAAGGCCTTAGCTCTGCACATATCTAAATAGAAAGGAAAAAGGCCTTAGCTTTGCAACTCTGCATGTACAAGATCTGTTTTTTCGCGTCGCTGAGGGCGAGAAGAAAGAGAGACGAAGACCAGACGAACGTTGTTTAAGGCTACGTCAGTTATATCGTTAAGTAAACCCATGCAATATTGCATGGGGTTATCAGTTATGTATTCCATAAATTTGGTGAAACCCGATGGGCTGGAGACCAAATTGGGCTGTGCTACCCATCCTCAAGCCGTCACGTCAGGGTCCAATATATATTATTTTGTTATATTTTATATATAAATATTATAGCATGATACCCAAAATACATATTAAATAATATTTTAATTTATAAGTATAAAATGAATTCATATGCATATTATATGACATAATATAAAATGCTATATATTTTGTATTTTACACATAGGAACTATAGGCCCGGCCCAGGCCCAGGCATATGTAGGCTTGGGCTTGGACTTATGTAGGCGTGGGCTGGTCCCGTACAACCCAAATGGCATATTATATGACATATGTTTGCTAAGCTCATCACCAACACCAAGCATCGCATCCTTTTCTTGTAACGAGGCCTTCTTGAGGTCCAGGCGTCCAGCTCCATAATTAAGCTCGTAAGTTAAAGTTCATGAAATCGATCTTCTCACGATTTGGTGATGCACAGGTAGATCTAATTTGCTTTTAGCAACAAGTTAAGCGGAGTCCTGACTCCTGACTGCTGAGAGTTTGATTGGTTCGAGACTCGAGAGTGGCAAACCCAGCTGGAGCCTGGAGGTGGGTGCATCAGCATTGGATTTCAATTAGACCCGGTAAAAAGTTGATCCAATCCGTGAATCCGAACCAATTCAACCTAAAAAAATAGGGTTAGGCTTTCATATTTAACTATTTGAATGTGAGAATGACTAGACCCGACCCAGAAAAATTGGGTGGAATTGGGTCATGGGTCAACCCGTTGACTCAATTGTCAAGTCTAATTGGGATTATTTATGCATTGTTAGAAGTTTTCACTCTTTAATTTTTTGTATTTAGTCTTTACTCTTTGTTGTTTATTCTTTAAATTGTTAAATGTTTAATTTTTTTTATTTTATATTTGGAATTTTAAGGTTAATTCTTTTAATTTTGACATTTTTATGTAGTTTTTCTTTATTTTTTAAATATCAGATATTTTTTGAGATGACCCGAATTGACCCATAAATCAACCCTAACCTGAATATTTAAGATTAGGGTCTAACATATGATAACCCAATCCGAAATTCAACCCGACCCAAAATCAACCCAAAGGGTCTTCACCCAATTCGAACCGGACCCATCCAACCCAATTGCCAAGTCTAGTTTCGATTGATGTCGCTCTCTCATGCCATGCCTGACAAGTTTCGCTTTCGCAGCAGACCAGCCATTTCGAGGCAAAACTGGTCCTTGAAGATCCCCTCTAGCTTATTGCTAGTGTTGCTCCACTGACGGGACGGGTGCTTGGTTTGGTTCCCATCTTCTTCCTACGCTTCACTTCCATCCATTCTTTAATTTCAAAACCTTTGTTAGGTAATTCTTATTCTCATTTTGGTAGTTTACCGATGTTGATACTTTGTTTTGATCTGGTCTTTATGTGATTCAAATTAATACTATCTGGTTTTTGTCAACTCTATTTTTTTAACGGTTTAAATCTAACATAGAGCATTTCTCTTGGATTTATCTTCCCATGTATTTGATGCATGTGGAGAAAATGCATCTGGATCATTATACGAATGCATTAGACCGAGCCGGGTTGGACTGATATATGTGCACACGCCCACTATGCCGTATCGTGCCATGCACATAGGTCCAGGGCCCTATATCTGGTTTGGGCTGTGAATGCACTCAATGCCAAGGCTAAGAATTATTATATCATAGAGGCCAACTATCAGAATCCTTTTGCGCCAAAGGAAACACTCCCATAAGCAACGAAATCGATTTTAAGGAATACAGCCATATATTATTTCCTTCTTTCAACAGACAACATTACCAACTTGTTTAAGAATACGTGTAAGGTGGTATTAATCCAGTGTTCAGTAACCCAAATGGTCAATTCGTTAATGGTAGCCGATAGATGATTTAAGCAACGATCCCACGCTTCATATACAAGTACCAGGTGTTATGAAGCAATGAAAGAAAGAAATTAAAATAAGAACCAGGTGCTTACCATTAACAAATCATGCGCCATTGTCCGGCCCATACCTCATCATAGTCTTTTCTTTTTTCACTTGAAAAGTGATTGGCAAGAAGCCTTTTTCCTATTGATAGGATATCCATCATGTTGTTCATGTCCCACACCTTGTTCATCTTCTTAGTGAAGACATTAACTAGAATTTGGATTTGTTCCTCACAGAACGTGTGCCTATGATAACATCAAGTATGTTACATATTCTCAATGCAAATTTTGTGAGGAGCAAATCTGATATCTCTCAAATGATTCATCATCACCCAAGATCTTTTCATGCATATACAACTCCAGCAGTTCATCAGCTAGCTTCTATCGTTCAGGAGGGAATTCATTATCATCAATATTATTAACTTCATCACCCTGCTTTTTAGTCTTCTTTGTTACTTTTCATGCATGCTATAGCTTTTCTCAGTTTCTACTATCTATTTCTGTTTTACAAACATATCAAACAGGGATAGGAATGGAAATGGAGCAGGTTTGGTGAAGGGGATTATATTCTCAGTCCTCAGCCCCGATTTTGGAATAAATCCCCATTCTTGACTCTGACCCCTGTTGAAGATAAAAGTTGTCATCCATCCGTGATCCCTCAACGGAGATGAGTTCCATATGGGGATCCAAATCCCCAAAATTTTTTAGTTAATAGTATTTTTTTAAATTTAAATTTAATAAAAATATTAAAATATAAATAATATTTTAAATATAGTTTGATATATAATATAAATAATATCATATATAATCAGGGTTGGGGCGGGGGATCTCATTCCCTATCCCCAACCCCGACCCTAACCCCGATTGGGGATCCCTATTAATTCCCATCACCGTCCCTTGCCTCACCAAAAAAATCTCCAATTTCCATCTCCAAAGCCATCGAGTTGAGGAAATCGAATACCAGTCAAGAATGAAAAAAATTGTCATCTCTAGATAGAGATCACCTTGCTTGCTTGATATCTTTCAATTTCTTATAGGTTTTTTTTGAAAAACGGTGCTGTATTGATTTAATTAATGTTGGGACCATTGTTGGTTGCTGCTGTATGGCTTATACCACATCAACATAATATTGCTGAAAGGATGTCTTCACAAACCACACATTTCTCAAATTTCAAACCATTTTCTCAAATCACACTGTCTCCATGAACCGGACCAAGCTGGGTTGAACATCAAGGCTCTATAAGTTGGGGTGGGGGGACAAGTGTAACTCCAGAGTCCAGACCTACAGTATTGGAACTGCAGAAGCTGCAACGACCGGCTAAATTTTGCAAATTTTGGACGGTTGAAAATGAATGGGATAGATATCAATCATTATTATATGGCTGGCATCCTAACAGGATGGATATAAATAGAAGAATGGATATTTGGATAATGTTAGCTGCGACATCGAAATTGTTTTTGCCACGTCAGATTCAGATCACGATTATAATCATATTATTTTTTTAAATTTTTCATAAATTCAAAAAATTTTCTTTCAACTTCCCGAGATCTGCTTCTCACAAATGGGCGCCTCACATGCACATCCACCGTGCATTAGGAGCATCTCCCGTATTGGTTGAATCGGTGAATAAGTCTTCTTTTGGGGGTAAGTTTACATTTGAGATAAAAGTTAAAAAGGTATTTTTGTCACTTAAATTGCCTAATAAAAAAGTTTCTTTTAATCATGCTTCACGCCCTTTATAAATAATTGGAACTAGCAAAAGAGAAAGAAACATATTAATTATTAATGGATAAATGGGCATTCTAGTCAATTTATATTGTTTTTGGTGCAAAGCTGTTAGATGGATGCCTCTTTTTCATTTATTTTCCCCTCGTACCTTCCCTCCATTCGAGAAACCCTAACTTCCGGTTGCAGGTAGGTCTGCTTGTAATGGTTGCTGACGCATTGGCCTAAAATATAGGGCAGACCAATCCATGTTCTAATGTTCTTTGTCTGTGGCCATCGACGTGAAGGAATTAGTGCTTATCATCCGTCAGTCCCCAAAATTAAGGGTTGAGGTGTCTGATTCTACCAATGGAAGTCGTTCCTTACTGCACCTGTAGTGGATTCCGGAACGGTTCTGGCGTTTGTGCTTCCTGTGGCAGTTCTCGGCCCGACGCAAGACGAGCGTCGCCGCCTCTTTCCTATTTTCCAGCGATGTCGGGCGGTGATGAAGGGGGCATTGACGGCGGAGATAATAGAATTCATTATTTTATTCCCAGGTTGATCGTCGGTGCCATCTCCGGAGCTCTTACAGGGCTTTTCGCTCTAGGTAATTTTATTATCTTTTGCACTGACAGTTTAATTTGGCTGAAGAATTCCATGTACAGTAAAGTTCGAATTCTGTTTACATTTTTTTTTTCTGCTTCTTTTTGTTTGAAATTCACATGTGTCGTGACATTGTTTCATTTTCATGATTAGGAGTGGTGGAAGATCACTGAATGGGCGTTTGTTTCTTGTTCCTAGTTTCATTATTATCATTTTATTTTGTGTTTCCTTTTTCCTCAACAAAGTGTTATTTTAGAATCATCCACAAACTTATTTTTTGTATCGAATGCTAATTCACCTTGAGGATCAAATTTATTGTATGGGTAACCTTTGAAACGGCACATTGTCCAAAGAAGAATGTAATATGTTCCTGTAATTTATCAAAAAAAAATTGTAATATGTTCCTGTTGTGAGGCAATTTGTAGCACAGTTACTAATGTAAGTTATCAGGATGGATGTTTTCATAAATGAGAGGTTAGCTAATATGAACCAGGCAGTAGTATTGCAAGATTTGCGAGTGCTTGATTTTTTGCTGCGTTTACAGAGTAAAGATGGTAGGCAGTTATCTCAGGAAGGATTAATATGGTGAAAATTAACTTATCAGGATGATTTTTGTGAAGCTGAACTGGCTTGGTTATGCTGGCTCTTGTAAAATTGAAATGTCCTTGTATTTGGAATGGTGCAAATAGTGATGCCTGAATAAAACTAATTATGGACAAAGTTCTGAGAACTATAGTATTGATTTTTTTCCTGGTGGTGGTGGGGTGGCATTAAATTGAAATCAATTGTGACTTTGCGAGTCATATAATAAATTTTAATATTTTCCTGATTTAATGGTAAAAATGTGAAAATAAACTTAAGGAAATTAAAAAATTGATTTTCTACCCATCACCAACCAATGGTGGTATGGCCATCATATACATAAGTATTACAGATAATTTTACCACTGGTGCATTGCCACTGATGGATAATATGCTCAAGTTCAATTTCTAATTTAACAGTGAGTTAATCCATATACATGTTTCTTTTTAGCCCATTAAATTGGTGAAAATTAACTAAAAAAGCTCCAAGTCACTGATGTCTCCAATATTTAGAGTGAAAAAAACATTGGAGTAATAAGTTATAAGACAAAAAAAAGAAACATGTAAAGTTACATCAATGTTCAAATTATTGGAGTCATTGACATTCTAAAATGCAAATTAAAAAAAAAAGAAAGTGATAAAGGAAGCAAGATTGACCTTGAAAATAACATGACAATAAAAAAAAATGAAAACTGAAGAAAAAATGAAGTGTAATGGAAAATAATGGGAATTTTCTTTGAAAAGCTCCAATTTTATTAAGAATATAGAGAAGGATACAAACAGACCCCTGGAAAGAAGGCTGGCCCAAGAACCCGAAATACATTACAGTTCAAAGAGATTTCTCGAATTCAGCTGGGCTCCAAACTCCCTAGTTTGGAGACCATTAACAGAAGCAGTCCAAGACACCACTTTTCCAAAAGAATTAGAGATGAGGCTGTCTGTTCTTTTGGCCTTGTTCTAGAATACTCTGTTGTTTCTCTCTTCCCATATGGTACTAATAACTGCTGCAGGAATTGATCTCCAAATTGGCCAATTTGGAAAGCCTTAAACAGTCCCAGCACCACATCAGATCCAGACATCCAGCACATATTTTGGCATGACCCCTATCATGGAAAGATAGTGATTCCATAAAGACATTGAAACAGAACAGTGGAGGAACAAGCGATTGTTATCCTCTTCCTGTTGACCACATAACATACAGCTCAGGTCTTGAAGCTGCATTCCTCTCCTCAGCAGGCTTTTCTTGGTGAGGTACCTATCCAGAGCAGCAGCCCAAACAAGGGCATTTACTTTGGTAGGAGTAGTCGCATTCCAAATACTAGCAACTGGAAAACCAGGTCTGTCATCACCTTCCAAAACTTTGGCAAAGGTCCAACTCCATCTGTCATCTTCCAATAGGTTTATGTTCTGATTTGATAGTAGCTCAAATAGCTCCTTTACTTGATTAAATTCCCAATCCTGAAAGTTTCTTCTAAATGAGGGACTCCGGATTATGGAATTGTTTGAAACTTCATAACACTCAGCCACCAGTGCATCTTGGTTATCAGCCAAGCCAAATAGCTGAGGAAACAACTGTGCCAAAGGCCTTTCTGCACACCAAATATCCTTCCAGAAATTTATGTGCTGACCATTTCCCACCTTCTGAACCAGATCCCTATTCAGCAGAGGGTACAACTCCATGATCTTCCACAGAGAGCACCCTAGGGAGTTACTACTAGGTCTGGTTGTCCAATCACCTCTGTTTGTACCATATTTAGCTGCTATCAACTTCCTCCACCAACTCTCCCTCTCTGTTCTGAACCTCTAGATCCATTTACCAAGGAGTGCTTCATTCAATATCTTCAATTTTTTAATCCTCATACCCCCTTTCCTTTGGGAGAACAAATTTGGTTCCAATTGACCAGGTGTATTCTTTTCTCCTCATCCCAACCCTTCCATAAAAAATCTCTTTGGATCTTTTCCAGCTTATTGGCTATCTTTGATGGAATAGGAAAGAGAGAATGAAAGTAGGAGGGCAGGTTTAAGAGAGCCTTTGAGGAGAGTGATCTTGCCTTCCAAAGTTAAATATTTGGATTTCTAAGAAGCTAGTTTTCTTTCCAGCCTTTCCACCACTGGGTCCCAAATCAAAGAGGAAGTACACTTTGCTCGCTTGCCGAAGCTCCGGGAACCCCCTATTTGCTAATGTTGTTTATTCATTCATTGCAATAAAATATCTTCTTAAAAGGCAATGAAAGTTATACAATCATTATTTTTTATGCGAGAAATAAGAATTTCAGACCCTAACATAGACTTGTTCGGGCTTGCCTCGAAGGGCATGGTACAAAGGTGACTCATAGAATCAAGAATGCAATATGTTTTACATCACAAGCTACTTGAAGCAATGCAGTTAAGGAAAAAAAGAGATTGTGGGTTTCACATGCTTGAAAATGCTTTATATGTTTGCTTTTATTTTTAAATTTTCATTTGAATATGCTTTACATGTTATGCTTATGTATTTTAATTTTAGATAATAGGTTTTTTAAAACATTTATTATAAAATTTAAGTTTATATTTTTATTAACATTATGTTTAATATTTTTCAATTTTTTTAAAAAATTTTGGCATCTTTTATGAATTTTCTGACTTTTTTTTTTGTAATTTTGTGCCCTGCTTAAAAATGCACATGCCTCACTTTGCACCTTGCGCCTCAGGTACAAATTGGCCCTTGCGCCTTTTTTTTTTTTTGCGCCTTGCGCGTTTAAAACACTGGGTTAAGGACAAACAACTTGGCCTTTATTGAGATACCTTGACCCATAGTCCTCCATGCATAAAGCTAAAATCACACCATTGCTGTCCTTAAATGCACTTTCCATTGCCTGATAATCCAGGATTGCCCACACTGCTCAGATCGAAGTTTGGCTAGATAAATTGCTGGTTTGGAGGTGACCAAGCTAGTGGTGTTCAATTCAATGACTTATTCAATTTACATTTACTGTTAACATTTTAGGCCTATTAGGATCGTGTAGATTTTTGAAAACCTAATTGTTGGCCCATTGTTACAACCAAATGGTGGCCCATATAGACCAACAGAAAAGTATGAACTTGACTTTCTTTTCTTAAAATTTGGTCAAGGGCTTAACTAGTTTGTATGTCTATATGATCAGCAAAACAATGTCTATGTATGGCGATGCAAAGCATCATTACATTCGTTTTTTTTTTTTTTTTTATGAAACAAAGCATCATTACTTTCGAATGTAAGTTTCAAGAAGATGAAAAATTGAAGGCTGAAATGATGGTTTTGAGATGAGCAAGGGCTACTGAGTACTGACTATTGTATCCTTTTGACGAATAATGAAGAACTTATTTAAATAAAAACAAGAAAAACAAGGAAAGAGACAATGGATGCAAAACTTTGAGGTGGGGCTGATAGCACTTTACTCTGGGCCCATAGGTGTGGGAGATTCTCTGAGGGCTGAAATTATGGACCTACTACAAGGTTTGAGGCTGGCCAAGCAATGGGGATTTCAAAACTTTGAGGTGGAGGGAGATTCTAAACTGTTAACAGGATGGCTGCAGACAAAAATCTTGGGTGATGGACTTTTACACAACAAATGAGGGAAATACTTTGCTTAGCAAGGGAAACTGGAGTATTCTTCAAGTGGGTAAGGAGGTCAGCCAATTCTGTGGTTGATACTCTGGCAAAGCAGGGGACCCTCAGGGAAACCTTTTTTGGGCTGTGTCATAAGTTTTTAAAAATGTTTGGGGTCAACACTCATGCTCTGAGTGGTTGACAGTGTATGTGTTTAACACTTTAACTGCTGATTTTAATGAAAGTTACCGTTTCCAAAAAAAAAATGGATGTAAAGCTTTTGGACACAACTTAAAAGGGAAGAAACTCTGAATATCATCCTTTTATGTTTATCTTCATACATTACAGTCATAAGAGATTTGATGTGCAATTTGGTGGTAGACTTTGACAAAGTTTTCATCAGTGGATGCTATTGATAAAAAAATGTTTTAATCAGTGGATGGATCTCTACTGGTATATCCTAACTAATCTTTACATGTGTCATGACAACTATTATCTTTATTGTTCCAAACACTGCTTCAACTCAATACCCCTTCCGGATTCCCAACATTTAACCTAACCTTGTTCATTGACACTTTCATCTTCAAGTTTCTACCACATGAAAGGGATGCATTTATAGTTACTTGTTGTATATCTACAAGCATTACAGCATTTGGTGATTGAATGGGAATTTGGTGAAGCCTGTTAAAGACATTTTAGCTTTTCCTATTAGAAAGGATGGTTACATTCAACAACTAATCAAAAAGAAAAAGAAAAGATGGCTACATGCAACAGTAACTTTTCCAACAACCCTTTTACAATTTACAACTTGTTGCAAATTCTTTGGAATCAATGAGCTTGAAAAAGGGATTGATGTTGATGAATCCTTATCTTGGTTTTGTGAGAGGCTAGCAGGGACTTAGGTCTGTGACATGTGTCATTGGCACTAGGGGCTCAAGGATATCATGGGGCCTGAATACACCCATGGGGATCTCAACCTTGCTGTGCTTTTGGTGGAAGTGTAAGTGTTGCATCAGGCAGAAGCATGGGCAGGCAGTCATCTTTGCACCCATTGATGTAGTTCATATCACCATCTTGTACATTATATTTGCTCTATTGGTGTTGTTTATATTGCATGTTCTTTTCTCCTTTTTTACTTTTATTCTAAGCACATAATTTTGGTTGTGATTTTGGATTGTATAAAGTTCCTGACCCATTTCATGATCTAATTAGTTTCAAACTTATTATGATTTTGAAAAGTTCTCAATATTTCAGCAGGGATTTCTATATATATATGTATGTGTGTATGTATATATATTGTTGATGGTTTCTTTAGAAGTACTTTTATATTTTGAGAGAATGTTAATACCTACCCGAGTTTTTAAGCATGTGTAACTCAAAATACAAACTTAGATACAACATCTTTAATCACTTCATGCCCATGCAGAAGGAAATATTCTTCTTGGGTTCTGCAAAGCTTCAACATTTAGCTTTAGTAAATCAATTGGGAAGTGATGTATAATGATGGTTATTATTATTATTATTTTTTAAGTCTACCAGTGTTACAACATTTTTTTCTCTCCCAAAGATCAACAAAGAAAAGTAGAATTTCAGGGTTGAGCTCCCATATCTATTACAAGGGCTTTTGACATGGACCTAATAATTCTTTTATTTTCGCAAGGTGCCAACCAGCTGGTTGGTAAGGTCTCCTGTTGGTCATAGCAGAGACTTGGGATCGAATCCCACCTGCAGGAGACCATTATTATTATTATTATTATTATTATTTATATAGTGATTATTTATCACTATATAAATAATCCAGATGAGCACCAGATTTAGCTAGACCATTTGCAATTGTGTTTTGTTCCCTGGGAATCAAGTACAGGTTTAGTTCAGAATATCCCTGGCTTCAGACAGCTAACGAGATAGTCTACAAGAACCACCATTTTTCTCCTAGCCAATTGATAGTATTTTCTGAATCTTCTCTAATGCTTGGACCTAATAATTCTAGGCAACCTTACATTGGACGTGTTGCTTCCAATCATATATTTATGGCAATTTTTCTTGTTTTACTTTATTTATCTGTTAACCAAGTTGATATTGCCCAACAATGACGATTTCTGGGTGCACCTGTTTAACTGCCACGCCATTCATTGATTCCTAGTTGGAGAAGCATCTTGGTAGCTCTTTTGGTAGGATTAATGGGTAATTGAATTGAAACTACATATTTTCTTGTCTATGGGTAACAAGAAACTGAAACAAAAATATGAAAAAAATGCACATTTAGTTTCATCAAAGGAGAAGATAAGAATGGGGGAGGGGTATTCAAGTGATTAAAGGTTATGGAAAATGTAGATGTTCAGTAATCTTGAGGTTTTGAATGTTTTAGGAAATTTTAAGTGAAGCCATTTTTTCCCCAATTGTTACTTGTTTGTTTGTTTTCTATCCCCCTTATTTTATCTCATCTATTTCTCTTATTTTTATTTATTTTTTCCCTCTATTTCCATGTTTGTTGGAAATTTCCATCATGGCATAACAAGTGATTGGTTTCACTGTGTCTGGGATTGTAAAATATAGCTTGGAAACACGAGATTTAATATCTTACTACAAAATGTAGAATGTATTGTTACTTTTTCTGATTCTATTTAGGTTGTCATACTGCTGATGACCATGAACATTAGATGGTTATTCTCCCAAGTACTAAAAGAGGCATCTTGCGCCCTAGATCAACATCATAGAGTAGGATTGTAGGAAAAGCAATTCCTTTTTATCTGGAATTACCAAACATAGTAGGGAGCTGATTATTAGCTTGGCCATTTCTTGACTCAACAAGTGGATTACTTTTTTAACTGATAGGTAAATATTCATTGATGTTGATGCTCTATTTTATTATTTAAAGTTGTAATTGTGAAGCCAGTCAGTCAGATTTTTAATTTTTATTGGGGCCCTAGCAAGGGATGGGGGTAAAGAGATGGTAAAAGATTTGTTATATTGGAGAATGATTTTGCTAGACTGATTTTTAGTGATTTTGTTGCTCTCTAGTGTTCATGGTCAGTTTTTATGGCTGTGCTTTTGTCCTGCTCGTATCCTGAGGAGGAACATTTTTGGATGTCAGTGCAGTTCATGAACTGTGTAGCCCCTTGTGCATGCAACTCTTTGATGGGTTCCCTGTTACTGTGAGCACCTAGAAATGGCTGATTGTTCGGGGATTTTGGGGCTCAAGCGTTTAGTTTAATAGCAGTGACTCTTTTCTCTGATCTTACATATTTATATGTTTCATGTACAGCTGGAGCTTTCACAGGAGCAGTTACTGGTGCATTAGCAGGTCGGGCTTCTGAGAGTGGTGTCCTTCGTGGGGCTGGCCTTGGAGCTGTTGCTGGGGCTATTTTATCTGTCGAGGTTTTGGAAGCATCCCGTGCTTATTGGTGTTCAGAAAGATCTGGTTCCCGTAGTTCATCATCGATGGTCAGTTAATTAAATTCAACAAAGAATTTTTGTTGACATCATCATTTGTTTTGGTAATACTTATGATATATATTTATTCTATATCCTCGTCATCATTTTTTGTTTACATTGTCATTTGTTCTGGAAATGTTCTTTTGGTCACTTTTGGCCTTCAAGGCATTGGACCTCATTACTGACCTTTTATCTTGTTGCTTTGCAGGCAGATTTCATAGAGGAGCTCCTCCATGGGAGGTTTGTACAAGAACAGTTCGCTCCAACAATGTTTACAGCCCACCGTTGGCAGGTTATTTTACCATATTTTCTTCAACTACTTGTATATTCCTGCTGAAGGGCCACCATCTAATATGATTTCACTGGGATGATTTTTCTTTTTTGTATGTGTGTGTAAAACCAGAAGGGGGGCTTCACAATACAGGGATAGACTGTCACCAAAAATCACAGAAAAAAAGCTAGAGACCAAGGAAGATTAAGAAAATCCAAAGAAAGAACTCCATGAACAATCATCTTGAGCTTCACGTGCTAACCAGTCATCTGCTTGATTGGATTCATAATACATATGACGATACACCACTCCTTGTTCCATCAGCTCGCTTAGCTTCAGACAACCCTCAATGATGCTCTTCAATCTGCACCGGGGGGGGGGGGGTCAACGTTCTTCTGTAAGCAAGAGATGACAAGCTTCAAGTCTCCCTCAATAGTTATAGGAAAATCCTTTTAAAATTCAGCACCAGGTTGTGGGCCTCCCAGGCAGCCCACGCTTCTGCCAGATTGGTAGTGGTGGCTCCAATGCTATAGGCTTTAACATCAAGAACCTCACCAAGATGATTTCTCACAATGCAAGCCACCAAACATAACCCATCACTTTTACAGGAAGCATCAAAGTTGACCTTAATTGATTTTTCCAAATAATAGGCCTCCACAATTTGGTAATTGTAACCAGAGTTACATTTTAAGCTTTCATAAATTTCCAAAAAAGTATTTAATGCCCTATCAAGAATAGCAGGGGGGGGGATTATTATTTAACACATTCTCATTCCTATTATTCCAAAGAAACCAGAGAATAACTGTTCATTTTTCCTTTCTGTAATAGTCCTCAGCATCCCTTCTACACATTTGGACCACCAGTCCATTATCAAACCATCATTATCTCTAGGCCCCTCAATGTTAGAGTTATTCGCCAACCAAACTTGTTTAGTGAAAACACAGTTTTTAAAAATATGGTATACTTGGATGTCTTCTTTGTATACTTAGAACTTTTCATGTATAAAATATGAATGAAGTACAGTAGAAGTTCTTCTGTTTCCCCTTTATCTTCAACTTCAGGAATGCACTTTTAATGTAAAAGAAAATGAATTTATTTACTTCTTTATTAATTGAAATTCTAACCACTAGTTGGGTTTTTTAATCAACAAAAAGAAATTATTTTCCAAATAAGGTCAGTTGGTAAGGTCTCTAGCTGGTTGTAGCAAATACTTGGGATCAAATCCCACTGTCACCAGGGTTGGGGGGTTATGAGTAGGGGGATGTCAATAAAAGAAAAAAAAAACAAACAAAAAGAAACTATTTTAAATGGTTACTTGGGAATAATATCCAATTGATGTTTTGTTGGGGGTCATCCTATCAGTAATACGTTTTCTAAGTATTTTCCCCTTGTAATAAATTATGTAAATCTGCAGCATTCTGAGAGTTACGTTCTATAGTTCATGGAAGTTGGACTAGAGTTTGCTTATGATTCCTTTTCCATAGGATGCTTGATATGCCTGGTAAGGTTGGTTTTGTAGTTGGAGGTTTTATATTTCATACCATATGGCAGAAGTTGTAGCTTTTTTGTTGTGTATACTCTATGGTTCAATTTCACTTTATACAATCCATCCTGTATATTTTACATGTCTTCCTTTTTCTTATAACTTGTATTTTCTGGTTATCAGGAACAGGCATATAGTGGTATCTGACTAAGTTTTTCCCCTTACTTTTGTTTTTCCCAACACCCCTTCTCCCACATGATAGTAGCTTCCTTATCGTAGTAGATTCTCTTCTCATTTGCATTGCTTTGGAAGTTTTTTTTTTTTCTTGTGCGTATATACCAAATTTATGTTTTAACATTGTGTATATCTCTACCTTCAAAGCCTTAATGGCCAATTGAAGTTCAACTCTTAGGTATTGGTATTTGGGTAAATAATATTGAATTTAACAGGTGAGCATGGCCAATATAAGTTATGATGAGATATACGATATCTATGGTGAAGTTGCATTCCGAGGTCTGTCCATGGAGTCATTGAAGAAACTTCCATACCACATAATCACGGTTGAGAACAAGGCAGAGTGTGGCGATAATTTGTGCTGCACAATCTGTTTGCAGGTACATACGAATAAAGACGGTTCATGTGTAAGATGTTAGGTTTCACGAAGATATACTTGTTACTGTTGTTACTTTTTGTTTTCTCTCTAACTTGTAATCCTACTTGCAGGATATAGAAGTAGGGGAAACAGTGAGAAGCTTGCCATTGTGCCACCACACATTTCACTTGACGTGTGTTGACAAGTGGCTTATTGGGCATGGGTCGTGCCCAGTGTGCAGGCAAGATGTATAGTATTGTAGGTTCTGGTATTGTGTACATGAAACCGGCAAACAGGTGCTTGATCATTTGGGTCCTTGTAGCCTTATTAGTTGCTGCTCAATGATCTTTTTAGATGAATGTGTATATATGTTCTCCTGTAATATAGATGGATGTAGAACTCTGTCACTTAACTGACAGAGAAGATATTTCTTCCCACTCTTGGAGAATTTCAATATTGGCGCTGGGGGAACTGTGTACCCATTTTATTCTGTATCCTCATTTTCTTACAATATATTTGATTTATTAATCTACTATCCTATGTTAGAATAACTACTTTTCTAATTTCTTTCTTTTGCTCTTTCTTTGTTGTCAACATGGACTGTCCAGTCAATTAATTATGTTAGATGATGATCTAATGTAATAGACAACTGAATTTAAGAAACATAGAGCCAACAAAGAAACTATTTATGCAGAAAAAAAAGTCCTATTGTACAACATGATGTGGCTAGGTGACTCCTGCTTATTGATTTCAATACCTAGTATTAATTAACCTGCAATCAGTATTTAATGGGGGTTTTAAACTTCCAATCTTAAACAAAGGTGATTCTTTGGTACGTGGATGCAGTGTTGCCATCTTCAATATTGAAAAAATGTTGGTAGTCCGTGCCATGGATTAGATTTTGTTCATAATGGGCCCATTTGGCGTGTTTTTTTGCGCTGTCTTTTGGCTGTTTACAAGTTGGGCAGACTGATTTTTGGTCTATTTTCATTTGATTCGTGAAAGATTTAGCCGCCAAAAGCCGGAGCGCTGAAAAGACATGAGAAGTCCATTTCGGACTGATTTTGGGAAGTTCCAAATGAAGCTTTTCATATCTTTCGCATTTTATTCTAGTGCAGAAAACATGTATCTGCCAAACTAGTTTCGGACTGTTTAGATCATGCAAAAGCTCATTAGACATGTATCATTATTTGAAGTACTAACATATAGAAAAAGGGTACATTACATAGACTCCCTTGTACTATAGGGTCAGTGATAATTACCCCCTAAATTTTCATTTGCAACAAAGATCCTTGAATTTTCACTTTGAGTCTTTGAGACAAACACCCCGCTAGGACTCTGTTAGTTAACTCCTTAAAAGATTCTCATTTGGCTATTCAAAGTTTTTTCTTTTAAATCTCCAAACTACCATTTTCTTATTTAGTTAAATGATTTATGATTCGGCCAATTTTTTAAAATTAGAGTGGCCATTTCCTCCTCATCTCCACCTAGAAATTCATTGTTTCAGTGAAGTTTCGATCATCTATGGCTTCTACCGTTGTGGCTTCAATGGTTGGGCTATCTAAAACATTCACCTAGCTTAAATAGAAAGGAAAAGTTGTGTTTATCTCATACATCATAGTCCCTGATCCTAATTTGTTGATTACAATGAATGCAATAAAGGTGTTTGATTCATATGGATCAAACATAATTGAATTGGGTATTCAGTATTCCACATATGATCCTTTGACTAATGGTCCAAGAGAGAAGCATTGGAGGTGCAACGATGGAGGCATTTTTGGGTCAATTAGGGTCTTTGTGGCAAATGAAAGTTCAGGGGTAATTGTCACTAACCCCATGGTAATTGCTTGATTGCTTGCATTGCCGAAAATCATTTTAGGGAAGCCATTGATGTCAAAGCTTATTCTATTAGTTCGACCACAATTGATGTTGCTGAAGTCTGAGCTGCATGAGAAGCTCATCTCATGTTTAAAGAAGCAGATTGAGGTTTTGTGGAGATTTATTGGAAGCTTGTTGAGTAATTGGAATGTGGGGTGGCTTTTTTTTTTATATATATTTTAAGGGAAGCTAATTAAACTACAGATTGGATGGTGTGTAAAGCTCTCTCTTCTTCTCTTTATGCATCCAACTTGTGACAAAATCAATCAATGGAGCAAAAAAAGCATAAGAACCACTAAAGATGTAGTGATGCTTAAATGCTAATTATAATAAGTGGGTTTATTGTAAAAGTGGGAATTTATTAGTTTGATTGCTTGTTGATGAAATTTCATGGTTCTTACTTCTTAGTTTAGTAACACTTTTGTAACTGGCTTAATGGTTATCTAAAAGTACATTGCAATGGAGGCTTGAATCAAATGATGCTGCAGTTTGTATTCGTCAATTTTCTTCGTCTTGAAGTATCATTTTGCCTTGTCTTCCTTTAGCTTCTGCACATTCTACAATGCATCCCTGATTCCACTAGTTAATTCTTTTCAGATATGTGACATGGTCACAGTTACTCGTTTTTTTGTGCTGATCCCAGGTATTTCTTTGGTCTTGAAATTCTTGGGTTGGGTGTTCTTCTGCTGGGGAGACAAGAGATCCAACTTATGGCAATCTTTTTCTTAACTTTTTTTTTCTCCTGCAGTGATTTCAGGGACATTTTTGACGTTAGGTATTTAATTGGCTCAGTTTGGAAGGAGTATAAATACTAATATGTATAGCGCAAAATTTTGTATTATTTTGTAACATTTCTAAATTGATTAAGGGATGAAGTGCACACTGTAAAAAGGCTACCGAAGAAGTTTCTTCGGAAAACTGTTTAACTGTATGCCTCCAGTGAGCTGATCAAATGAAAAGTATTACTTGGAACAGGTTCGAACCCTTTCTATAGTCTATTCTTTGTAATTCCCTAACCCTAACTCTGAGCACTTAAGCAGCTTTGAGTGAGAGTGGAAGACGAACGAAAATGGAGATGAAAGCAAAAGCAATAGCAGCATTATCTCTCTACGGACTATGGTGGAGACAAGAAGCAGGTTCTGCTTGGCATCACCATCATAAGCGTCAACTTCAGCATGCCATGGTTTTGCAGGAACAGAGGAACAAAGCTTCTATCTATCTTCAAGAGACTGTTGGGAGGCTATCACTGGAAATCTGGATCTGGTGGTTGTTTGTATCTGTAAAGAGACTGTTGCGATGCCCCCAATGTAGTAAACCTCAATGGTACTGCTGCAGCCATTCTCCATTGACTTGATCCTCTGTTTTTCTCGCAATAGAGATGGCAATATGGTCACCTTAAAGTGTAGCAGCGGTGATCTCTTAATGGTTTGAAGTTTGAACCAGCCGAGTTTTTTTGTTTGGATACTATTCCTCAATTCGCCAAGCTCATCTCATGGTTTCAATCATAAGGGCACCGTTCAAAGACGTTCAAAGTGTTTCCTCTTTACTTGAAGGGATAATAGTACCTTGAACTTTAGTTTCAAGTTAATACCCGAATTTTAAATGGTGTCACTGCAGTATCTAAATTTTCAAATAACTGTCAAGTTGGTCCAAAACCGTTAATCGATAAGTACAATGACATAAATACCCTTTACGGCCTGAAAAAGAGAGTAAATGTTTCGAAGTTGCAGTGTTTTCTGTCGATGGATTTGCTTGGGAAATCGATGCCAGAGATTGACTTATTTGACGATTGAAATCACCAACGACAATTAGAAAATGATATTATCCCCTATATGATTAGGGTTTTCGCCTATTTACGCTCAGGTAGCTGAAAAATGTAGTGTTTCCACTCTGTCGGCATCATCGCAGAAGACGAAATTGTCGCTACAACAACTATGGTTTGCTCCAAATTTATACATCAGTTCTCGGCCTTCTCTCTCTCTGTCTATGTCTCTGTCTCTCTCTCCCCTCTCTCTTTCCTCTCTGTCTTTTGCAACTTCTTTTATTTGGCTTGTTGAGTTCACGGAGAGGGAGACAATGAAACTATGCCGTGATCATTGTACTCCAATCGGCTATTCTTTGGACAGTCCAGTGCTGGAAATATCTAGGCTGGCTTGTTGTGTTCATGGAGAGAGAGACAATAGGTTGTGCTTTAACTCCCCTTCAACTTGGCTTCATCGATGTAGTAACCAACAAAGGTATTTCCATGGTCGAAGAAAAACCGATGGAGGATTCGAGGGACATATCAGACGTGGAACTGTGGAAGAGATGGAGGATTAAACAGTGTTAATTGGGAGAGCATACAATTCGGTTATTTTCATTGAATGAAAATTTTCCAAGCCATTTTAATAGGAACCAGAATTGGGGGAGCACACAAATAGAAGAAATCAAAGGTTCAAAATAGAACTCAATAGCGCATGCAATCGGTATTTAACTGATAAGGGCAATTTTTGAACCCTAATAGTAATAAAATAGTTCTTTTAATATAATTTCAAAATAGGTTAATTTTTTTAAAAATATATCAAATAAGGGCAAAACTACTATTTATCTTTTTTCTCCTCCAAACTACCAAACAAATCTCTCGCAAGATTAATAAATATTGGTCATAGATATCTACTTTTTTTGTTCTTCACTTTAGGGCTTTTTTTGGAAGTACTCCCCAAGCCCTAACCCTTGTTTTGGTATGCAAATAGGATTTCAATGGGTTAAACACCATAAGAAATCCATCAACTGAATTGCAAGCCTTCTCATTCAATCGATGAAGGCAACTGTGAACCTGTATCTTAGAACAATACTGCATGGAGTGATAAGAGCTTATGCCCTTGCAATTCTAAGGTCCTCTTCAATGGCGTTTATCATCTTTGCAAGGGGATCCACCCCAATTGCGCTGAAAATGTCCTTTTTGGAACAAATTCTGGCTGTAAAACGCGATGTCTAGCAAGAAGGATGTGTTGGTGGTTTCGAGCAGATGAAGGCCATGGTGACATCGACGAAGAAACTCCTTGGAGAATAGGCCAAAGTGAGTTGCTGCTGTCCTTTGTAATGTGTTCGACCTTTTGTTCGGCTACAATCTCAACCTACAAGACCTCGGATATGTCGGATGCATCCTACTTCGCATTCTTGGTGACAAGGGCTATGTATCGAGCAGTCTTGGGCATTTTCATACGCCAGTAGTTAGTCAGAGCAATAGGCAATGCACCAAACATTAGAACAAGGCACCTTATGTAATTAGCTTGTGAGATAATTGAGGTACCGACGTCAATTTCGTAAGCTGGAAAGGAGTACTTGGCCTTGATTACAAATTGAAACCATCCCACCAGTTAAGATCCCAAATCCTTACATGGTGAAGATGGTAGCAATGAAGGCACCATGAGTCTTCTTATTGGCATGCTTAAAAATAATCGTGGCAGAAAGTGGATAGTCATCACCGATGCCAAACCCATGCTAGAAGCGGAAAAAAGAGAGGGTCACCATTATGCCTTCTGGAGCACTTCCAAAAGAAAGCCCTGAAGCGAAGAATAACACTAAGAATAAGAGTTGTTTCTAATTTGTTCTTCTAGTTCAAAATGCCCACGGGTTCACAGGATGCGAACTCAAGAAAGAAAAAGAGACCAGAGGTGGAGATATTTGTTCGGTGGTTTAAGGAGTAAGGAGATGAATAGTGTTTCTACTCTTTTTTGATATTTTTTTAAAGTTATCCTATTCTAGAAATTATGTTAAAAAATATTATTTTAATTGATAATAAGACCCAAATTTTTTCTTTATCAGTTATATCTTTTTATTTTATTTGTTCTTTTTTTACCGACAACTAAGATAACTACAATTATTCTAGAAGAAAATTAGGGACTGCACCACATTTGTAAAACGCGAGAAAACTGTACCATTTAAACCAAAAAGAAAATTAACATTACTAGTGACAAATTTAAAAGTGATTAAGACCTAAAGTCTACCTAGACAACGAGCTTGGACAACAAAAAACCCTTTAAGACTAAACAAAATATTGCTTCAAATTCAGTAGAAATTCTTCCAATTGAGCATCAAAAGAGGGAAGAAAAAAAAAGAATGATGAGAAATAACAAAGAAATTTCACCACAGTAGAGGCGATTTTACCTCAACAACTTCAATACATGAAAAAAATCCCTGTAGAGATAGGGATGGGATAACTTTGTTTCGTTAGTAGGGATAAGGATGAGGACATGAATGGAGTTTTCATAGGACGGGGATGGGGAGAGGCTACTCGTCCCCGCCCCACCTCGTTGCCATTCCGAGACAAACCACATTTCAGTCCTCCTGCTCGGATGCAGATGAAATCCGATAATCCAATGGATTCAAATTCGATCAGATTTCAGATCAAACTCAAAAGAAGTACATCCGATCTGATTACAGCCCTAGGGCTAGGGGTGAACAAAAGAAAAAACCGAAAAAACGATTTCAGTTTGGTGTTTTTAAAAAACCAAAGGTACCGATTCGGTTTCAGTTAACCAATACAGAAAATCAGTGATTAACCGAACTGACCGGTATACATATATTTCTATATATTTATGTATATTATATATATTATAAATTAATAAATATGTATTATATATAAATATATATTTATAATATATGATATATTATTTATTATTTACAATATAATATTTATGTATATTTATAATTTTTTATTATATATTTATATATTTTTTTGTAAATATTGTAAAAAATCAAAAAATCAACAACCAAACAACTGAACCGGTCAACCGATTAATTGACTGGCTTCAGTTCGATTTTGATTACCAAAAACCGGTAGTACCGGTTCGGTTAAAAAAAGCCTAACCGAACCGTGAGCACCCCTACGTAGAGCTACCTTTGGGAGGGTTACTAAATCTATCTTTTCCAGGTAACTATGGTTCGAACTTCTCGTTTCTTGGTTCCCAAGATTTTCCTGTTAATCTATCACTCTCTACGTTCCTCTTTCTCTCCCCGTTTAGGTGTGCGTCGGTTCTCTCAAACTACTGCTTTGATTGAAGGAGTATTACTCTTGTTCTGGAGAGAGCTTGCAACTCGTAAGTACTCTCCCCTCTCCCTCTCCCTCTCTCTCTCTCTCTCTCTCTCTCAATCAAAGTTTCTGCAACGACCAACAAGTTTTCTAATTTCATCTCGTTAACGGTTAATGCCAAAAAATCATAGACTGTTTTGACAAATCCTCAATTCACAATACATGGTTAGCCATTAATTGCTGGAACTTTAACCAGTGAACCCAGAAAAGAAATTCCTAATTTACAATGCAGGTTACTATGGATTGTACTTGAATCTTGAATACCCTTGATTGATGAATGTTTAACAGTTTGAGACCATCTTAATCCATTGCACATCATAATAGTGAACGTCTCAATCCATGGCTTTTCATTTTCTGAGTCGTCCTAATGGATGAAACAGTACCAGCAAAAACATTGGTTCTGGTCCGGATTGGTTGTTCTCTCCAATCAACGAGAAAACTTCCAACTCCGAGCCCGTTCGAATTGAGTTATGTGCTTATGTTTTTGCCAAGCCACACCCAGAAATTAGACATACACAAATGGGTTCATGAGTCGGGCCAAGAATCACCCATTTCCCCTGTTTCTTCACTTATTTCTTTAACTAGTTTATATCCCGACTTTGGTTTCTGTTGATATTCGCATGATGATAGTTTTCTGACTTGAACATTTCACTACTATCACATATACTAATTTCTTGAATGGATAATGCAGGTTTTGATTTGATTTTTGGTGGGCTTTCAAGAAAGATTTTTGGTGGGAGATTCAAAACTACAAAGTGAGAAAGAGAGAGAAACAACACTCAAAATGATTCATCACATTTCTCGTTTTCTGTTTCTTTTAGTACTGGTATCTCTTTTACCACACTGCCAGTCATGGGGTTGGTTCTCTTCTTCCACAACAACAGCCCATCAGAATAATTACCCTTCAAAGACAGTGCTAGCCTCTGAATTCTCCATGGCGACTCTAAATGATAGAAAGGGAATTAAGTTGATTGAAAATGCAAGAAGCAAGTTGATCAGTTCTAATTCGTGTTGGCAAAATGCTTATCGGAATCTCTTTGCTGGGTGTTCAGAAATTATTGCTGATAAAGAGAAGCAATCTAGACTTGCTTGGCATCTCAGTGATTGCTTCCAAAAGGATTCTGGAAGAACATCTTTCCCCTCTTGTGATACTGGTACTCCCATGGTGAAATGCCTCAAGAATTTGGATGAGTTTGCACATAAAATTTACCTTGAATTCTTCCTTGAAACCAATTCTATCTGCCATCAGTTACAGTAAGTCATCTCTACCATACTCTTTTTATCATGTTTATCCATATGGGGTGCAATAAATCTGGCCAAACAATTGGACAGCTGGGCACAAAGGTCAATAAGTTTTAGGCTGTAAACAAGCCTTGAGTACAGTGTCAGCAACTTTGCACATTATGTGGCCACCTAAGAGTTTATTTCTTGAAAAATCATGCTTGGTCTTGGGCTTTTCTCAGGGGTGAATTTTCTACTTTGCGTTTCTATGCAATCACATCTTCTAACCACTTATTGAATTTTGATTCTGTTGTTCAAGGGCTGATGCGTTCAAGCAAGAAACTAAGAGGCTGGTTAATGATTTAAAGAAGTCTGCTGAATTAGCAGAAGACAAACTAGAAATCATAGAAGATAGATCAGAGCAACTATTACAGAATTCAAACCAAATCCATGATTCATTAACTTCAATAGATACAAAGACCCAACAAATAGTGCAGAAGTCAAAGGATGTTGAAGGTCAGATTGATGCTGTACTTGATAATTCAATAGCAATTTTTGAGCAATCAAAAGGAATTGCAGCTTCCCAATCGGAATTGCAAGAAGGACAGGAAAAAATGAAGGATATATTGGAGGGAGGGATGGCAATGCTTCATGAATCTTACCAGAGTTTGGGTAAAGAAGTGGAGAAGCTAAGAAGTGAGACTGTGGAGATAGAGAGGGAGATAAATAAAGTTGGGGATTCAATGTCCTTGAAGATGAAGAATCTTCAAGACAAAGCCGATGATATCGGGAATATTACAGGTTTATCATTGGATAAGCAAAAGCAACTTCTTGATGGACAGTCAGTAGCTCTTGAAGGCCTAGATTTCCTTGCCAAATTTCAATCTCAAGCACTAGAAGAAAGCAGGTAATAAATAGACCCAACTCCTTGTTTCTGCATATAAAATCAACAAAAATATATGGAATTTATCTTAATTAGCTATCCACTTTGAAATTTGCAGGGCTACACTGCAGAAACTAGCTGACTTTGGTCAAAAGCAACAAGAAGAACTTCTCCAGCACCAAGAACAACTCCAACAGGTCCATGATCATCTGGTTGAAAATTCAAGATCAATATTGGCAGCTCAGGTTTGTGTTCTCTCAGATTAACATGGTTCTTTGATAAAATTTATTGGTCATTTTGAGCTATTTGTAATGGTAACTCTCTTTATCTACAGGAAGCTTTTGAATTGAAACAAGAAAGCATGTTTATGGCTCTGGACAAGCTCTTCATGCTGCACAATGCTATCTTACTTGAATCACGTTCAATTAAAACTTTCTTCTTTTACTCCTTTGCTATCTTTATCTTTTACATGCTCACCAGTGCAAAGCAAACTTATTGTGTGAGGCCAAGGCTTTATCTAGGTATGATTTCTTACCTATATTTTTCAAAGTACAATTATTCATAAAACTCATTGACACTGATATTGAATGACTGGTTTTATCCTACAGGACTGTGTATCACATTCTTGGTTGAACTTGCAGTAGTCAGGCTTGGGGCTGATGACCTTGATCAGCAAACCTGGATTGCATCTAAAATATTAATGACTAGATCTTTGTTCCTATTGGTTGCTTCACTTCAGATACTGTACTCCATTTTCACTTATAGGTAAACTTTTGTGTATACCTTCTCCTATAGTAGGACAGAGACTGATCTGTCCACTGTCCTATGTACTGGCTCGGGTGTGTATTTATTTATCCCATGTAACCAGTTGAATCTATTTGATGGAGAAAGCGTTTAAATTTGCAGGGACTATGAAGTGTTAAATCATCAAATGCTTTTGAAACTCATGGAAAAGATTAACAACATTGAAAGAAACAAATTATTTTCCTTGGAGGACATAGAGAGTGATGTGAACTTATCTTCATGGATTGATACAGAATTACCAGAAGATGTTGATAATTGTGAAGACCCTGATTATACATTTCCAGAAGAAGTTGGAGAGAATTCAGTTATGACCACTTCAATTACAAGAAAGTATGATCTCCGGCCTCGCCATCGAAGGGGCATTTAGTTATTTCTCTCTCTTTGGAAGAAGATTAAGCTTTTGAGTATTTTTTAGCTATTAAATAATGAAAAACATTAATTATTCTTGATGTATTACTTCCTTTATGTTGTTAATAAAAAACAGAAGAACAATGAGGAATTTCACTGGAATCATGGATTGTTGAATGCTATACTATGTGGCATGGTTTTAAAAAGCGTCCGAGGCGAGGTGAGAAGCATACACCTTAAGGCAAGGCGATCAAAAATCACTTGGCCTCAATAGCCTCTTCAAGATATTGCAGGGTGATAGCATACGCTTCTCACCTCGAAGCATAAAATTATCGAGGCGGTAGCCTTGAATAATCCAATTTCTAATGGGGGTAAATATGTAAAAAGATGAAAAAGCATTAGGGATTTAGGGTGGGCATAAAAATATTGGGGTTTTCCCTCTTTTCTTCTTCCTGGTCCGCACTGAGAAGTGAGCACTGCAAAAGAACCACTCTAGTGCTCTCCTCAACAGCTCAACCTCCATTGAAATGGCGATCAAGGTGATTTTTCCTTCTATTTTTTTTTATTATTTTTGTAATTTTCCTGTGGTTCTTGGTTGTCTACCACATAGGTAACTCCAAGGTTTGAGTTTCTATTTGAAATAGAAACTGAAAACAGAGTTTTGTTTTGAGTTTCCCATCATTCCATTTTCAATATTCATTTTTCTTTTTTTAATTTTCTTTTCAGGTTACAACACAAAACAGAGTTTGGTTTGAGCTTTGAAGTTTGTAACAAACAGTCGACTAATCAAGTGATCAGAAACCAAGGTTAAGTTCTTATTTCTTAAATCATAATTTTCTATGGTTAATCTGCTCCAGTTAATTGGTTACTAAGGGACTTGCTCCAAAAGAAATGGATGTAATTTGAATGATGATTAGAAATTTAGAATTTAGAAAAAAGGATTTTAAATTTTGATTTCAAAGTTCAAACCAGGTTTTGATCTTTAATTAGGTAATTGGAGAACTTGCATATACTAATAGGAACAAATTCTGGTTAAATTTTCATAACTGGATGAACATGTTTGATATGCCTTGCTTGCTAGTTGGTGCTTTTAATGAAAGTGTGTGTACTAATTTAAACTTTTAAATGTTTTTCCTAGTTCTATTGGTAGGAACTAAGAAGTCTACTTATAGGAAATTCACTTCAAAAAATTTATTGTGATAAGTCACACATAATTACATAAAATTTCAATTATTTGTTTCTTTTTGTGCTTTTTATTAATTATGAATCATGTCCTGAGTACTTGCACTGGTTTTCCCTTCTGCTTTCGTATTATTTTCATTAAACTTTTACCATGGTGATGGAATTTGGAAAAAAGACCTTAATTCTAGGTTAATTCCTAGTTTCATATACCGAACAACACGCCTATGAATTAAGAATAGAAGCTCTCTTACTGATTGGTGTTCAGGGTAGGTGCCCACCCCACAATGTATCTTGTTACCTAGATGGGCACCTAGGTAATGCCTTGAAACTGGTATTTGAAGAATCTCTGACCAAGCAATAATTGGCAGGAAAGAGAAAATGTTCTATACATTCTGAAGGTGACTGTACTTTGACTGTGTCTCAAATCCTCACTTTGAACTATGAAGTGATTCAAAAGAATGCCCCCTTGTAGGATTATCAAGCTAAGACTACAGAATGCCCCCTCGGGGCACAAATTGGTTCATATTCTTCGAGGGAAGGGATCTTTTGTGGCATTGCATCAGAGATATGAGAGGCATGTTGGCTTTCTCAGGTTGTACTCATGGCTGCTCTGAGGAAGAAGCAGAAGAACTCAAGAGGATGAGGTTTGCTGTTCCCTCTGTTTAAGCTTTTGTTTTTTTTGGGGGAATGCTTTTCTCAGCATTAGAGGCCGTCAGATTTCCCTCTACTGTTGGCCATATATATGGTTATTCACGCATGTGATATTGTTAGTGTTCTATCATTTGTTGTGGCACGCCTAAAGTTTGCAAACTAAAAATAAGACCAATTGTATAACAGTGATTTTGTTAGAGGCCGTCAGATCTCCCTATTTTTATCTTTCTGGTTCAACTCAAGTTGCACCACTAGTGTTGCCAAGGCACTGATACCTTGAGAATACCTTAGAGCTAACATGCTTGGTCTGGATATCCTTGGCATATGCACATAATAGGTAAGGTCTCAGCACTTCGGCAGCATAGAAGTCACCTCAAAGCTCAAGCTGATGCTGCTGGGAACAGGCAAGACTTGTGAAGGCTTCCACGGATTGGTACTATTTCATGTTTGGTTTGTATCCAAAGGACGAAGATTATTTCCCTTCAGCCTTTATTCTTTTGTTATATATGCTATTCATTGGTTCAAAGCAATTGTCAATTTATTTGGCATAGTGAACATCAAGGTTTTAAAAACCAACCCGGAAACAGAACTATTTTGGTCACTGGTTTCTGGGTTGACGGTTCGACCATCCGGTTCAAATGGACAGTCTGTTCCAACTTAAGGGTGAAATGGAACCGATTGCTTGGGCAGTTCTCAGGCTGAATGGTCCAACCATCTGGGTCAACAACAGTTTCTCTCTCTCCAGCAGAGATATATGTAGTTGTGCACTTGTGCTTATAAGTGGCTGTTCTACATTCTAGACACCACCGGTAGCTGGTGGGTTGTGTGTATCATGAACAGGTAATCTAACCAGTCTTAGGCGTCCTTAAGGAATGCCAGATCAGCCTTAAAGGTTAAAGGCTTTGGATGTTATAACAAGTAGCAATAAAGATGGCATACAAAATGAATCCTGCACCAGTGCCAACGTCTTCTATTCCATGAAGCCAAGGCCTTTACAAGAAGCAGGAGAAATAAATTTTGCCAAGTTTCACAGGCAATAAACTACAGTTGCTCTACTTGGATTCCCAGAAAATGATTTCTCCTTGCTCCCCGACCAAACCAAGGTCTCTTAGTCTCCTTTCTTGATAGTATTCCAAACCATCCAGCTCCAACTCCCTTTTCTTGAAAATCCCATCAATCTGCTCCAACACTTTCTTTTCTCCAGCTCTTATACCAACTGCTATTTCCAGTCTTGGTTTCAGGTTTCTCCCTTCCCTAATCTTTTCATCCTGCAAATCCCGTTACTCAAGTTAGACTATGCACTTATGCTAGAAAGATAAATTCTAATATTTTCTTTTCTTCTTTTTACTGGGCAAACTTGGGAATGGGGTTGGGGAGGGTGAAAGGCAGGATTAGATCTCAGTTCAGTCGGAGTTACATCCACCAACTTAAGGGATGTCCTACAACATAACATGAACGTTTTTGAAATTGCCACATCAACAAAAGAATAAACAAATAAAAAGAAAACATGTTCATGAACTCTGTTTTAGTTTGAAAAGATAAAAATAGGTTGATTTTGTTTCAAAAAACAATGCATGTTTCTTTAAAACAGAAATTCAAAAACACACCAGCTGGTTTTGTTTTGATCTTGGAACTGACAACAAGAAACAATACATGTCCGTGCTGTAGTCATCACTCATCACCTACGGATGCGTTTGGTTCCTGAGGAAGAAATTATTGAAATTGGAAAAATTGTGGATACTAGTCAAACCAGTCAGATACTCGAATTTGACTACAAAACTGCAAGCTCTTTTCCTTTTTAGAGGGTTGATGATTTGATGCATCATGTACTAATGATGTGAAAAAAGAAAGCTGTCAATCCTACCTAGGTCATGTAGATTCTAACTATCCATATGCTTCAACCAAAACATTGTAATAATTTTCAAAAGAATGCCATAGATCAACTGGTGAATGTCAAGGAGTGGCTGAATTTCGAACTATAAGATGTAGGACCACCTATCAAATTATGGGTGTTGTAATGGATAGGGAACACTATGATTGTTTATGTACTTTCATTATTAAGATGTTAGTAGCAATCACATACCTCTTCAATGGTGGTGCTATAAGAAGATAGTGCAGTCCTGCAGGCATCTCTGACTACTCGACATATGAGCTCCTCATTGGCACGGCTGACTGGCAATTCAAGGTGACCCCAAACTGTGTTTCTAAAAACTGACTCCAAAAGAAATGCATCGGTTCCTCCAAGAGCTACCAGCCGTAGATATTGAAGCATTGCTGGTGGAAGAGGGCATCCCAGACAAATGTCAAAGTAAGCAGTTTCACCTTGACCATTGGACTCTGCAATGTCCAGCTTGTCCCCAAAAAATGGGTCTGATTCAGAGATTTCCAGTGTCAAAGTATATGTGTTGCGTTCTGGCTTTGGTTCAATAAATCCATAATCTAATGCGAACTCGGCATTGCTCTTACCAAGATCATATTGGATCAGGACCTGCCAGGAAATCCTGAGGGTTGTCATCTAAAACTGTTTTACAAGATCCACTTGAATTGGCAAGTTGTTCATTAATTAAGAAGGTGTTTTCCAACACTAGTGATTCTGATTTCAACAATTTCAAAAGTTGAAATCACTGCAAAAACATGAAAAACTCTCTTCTTTTTATTGATAATCATGAAAAACCCTCCTGGTTCATCATTTTGTTTTCATGTTTTGAAATTGACCTGTTGCAAATACCTAGGATATTCCATGATTTTGAAAGCTACATTTTGAAGCCTTTAAAGTTTGAAAATATTTTCACTCTTTGTGGGGCCCATTTTCAGTTTTATTTGCAATAACCAACAATGGCTTGATGAAAATTTTCATTTTGAGAAATAAATCAAAACCAAATCACTTTGTGGGACCAGATTTCCTAGAAAACAGATCCAGGAAAAGTGTCAATGTTGGTGAACACCCCCCCCCCCCTTTTAATTCTCCAAGGATATAACATTGTTTTTTTTTTTTGCTATGTTGGTTTAACATTGTCTCTCAGAAAGCCTACCTGCTCTCCAGCCTTGACAAAAACTGGGGTCCGCAAAGAAAACAAGAGGTCCCTCGAGAAGAGGCCAGCTCCTTTTATCTCCCAAGCATAGTCTTCTGTAGTTATGCTGGGACTGTGGTTGATCTAATCAATAAAGCAGAACGGTGGTGAAACTCCAAGAGAAGGTAAGAGGTTGCAACAACAACTGAACTATGAAGTAGCAGACAATGTGTTCTCATATAGTTGCTAGCATCATAGCAAAGTAATTTACTACTGAAATATTTCCATCCTCAAAAGATACTAGGCATTCATTGCAGTTGCATCTTAAGAGGATGACGACTTGTTTTAGCTTTTGCCTATTATTACTTGAAACTCAAATTAAAAACAAAAGGAACTTCTGGTTTACCAATTGATCCTGTGTTGTTCATTTTGATAACCATGGGTACTGTGTTATATTAAATCCATAAATCTGTCTATGATTCTAGCTACCATATTTTTACTGTTGAAATTACAGAAGAACCATTAACTACCACCAGATCTTAGAAAAATCAATATTTTGCACTTTCGAGGTCTACTCTAAATGCTTGGATTTTTTGACCTATTGATGAGGAAAAAAAGCCTACTGTTCTGAGGCATATTATGGTTAAGGGATTCAATTCATCCTGGATATATCTTAGTTTGTACTATGGGGTTAGCATAACATTTTCTTGTCAGACATTTGGGAAGGTACAAAGTTCTTACCAAATCTGCAGGAGGAACTAGAACAAGATTTTGTCCACGTGAAAATGCCCTTGACCTGAGTATCCCAAATGCCCACAAGAAATCATCTGGTGTAATAGAAGGGAAAAGATGTTTGTTTGGGAGTATTACTTCTTCTTCAACTTTGAGAAATTCACTCTGAACATATTCTTTCACACCCAAGGTTGTGCTCAACAGTTGGGTTCCTGCATAAAACTCAATTCAATCTATATAAAAAAATGAGTGGTGAAAGTTTAACAAGACATATTGGAGCGCCGGTGGTATGCAAGCTGCCCGACTACAACTGATGGATAATCTGAGGTTCTGTCTGCAACTTCATGGCCATGGTGCAAAAATGGCAACCGATTGAGCTATATGCTGAAACCCTTTACTAACACCTAGAAGTTACTCTGTTTAGCTCGACACTGATATTCCCAATTAAGGAATTTGTAATATCATATTCCCATGAACACATTAATTAATTGACTGAGACAGTTTCAATAATGAACTAGTAGGCGATCCCAAGCATGTGGTTTATACTTTATAGGAACGAATTTAATAATCCATGAACTCCCAGTGGAAAGATAGATGCTTAATACGAACTGTCTGCATTCCCCATACAATTCCAATTATTCAAATCAGACGAGCCTACAACAACTCAACCAGGTGGTCTGAATCACAAACTCGTTAATATCTCTTTTTTTAACTGCACATTTCTTTTCTTTGTTTCCTTTTTATTTGCCTGTACGTTAATGAAACCCTTTTGCAACAAGGTCATATTATGTCAACCCAATACAGGAAATTTCTAAAGGTCTATAATTCTAGTAGCCTTCTTGAGGTTTCGAGTATCTAACCATATTACTAGAATAGTAGATTTAAGTGAGAGACTGTACTAACTAACTACTAACCTTGAAGCTCAGAAAGCTCCTCTTCTGACCTGTTCTGGAAACATCAAACACCATATTAACAGCAGAATAGCTAATTGTTAAACGATAAAACGTTACCAATATAAACCAAGATAAGAATACTTTTGACAAAATGTTTTCTTCTACACCTGTCAAATAGTTTTCGGAGGGAATTGAACTGCACAAATCAAACAGGCAAAGAAAACTACACACACCAAAATATAGTGGAGTTCGTGATTTTTGGAAGGATATCGAGGTAAGAACGCCACGGCGAATCCTCTCTCGACTTCTCTCTAATAAGAAACAGAGCTATGGATGCCCACGGCTTCAGCCCACCGCAGACCTTCCCGATCTCTGAAGCCGCCACGGTGTCGGCATTTATCCAAAGCCTACTGGGTATTTCCAGAACCACCTCGTTCCGTGAAAAATCCCTTTGGGCTACCAGTCCCAGACCTTCCGGCACAACCGCGGGCTTTACAGGTGGAGATTTGGTTGGTATAACTCCCTTGTCACAAACCCATCTCCAAAAGCTTTGGACAGTCGGTGAAAGTGTGGTAGTTTCCGGCGAACTAAGAGATTTTACAGAGAAAGACCTTGAACAGAAGGTAGGTGTCCTGGTTGGGGGAGAGAACAGCTTTATGGATTTGTTAGAGCAGAGGAAAGAAGAAGAGGAAGAAGAGAGGGAGAAGAGGGAGGCCATTTTCCCCCGCGGTTTCTTTGGTTTGTCTCTCCTTCCTGATAGATGGTTGTTTCTTTGGTTTGTATTGTTCGTGGATAGGACTTAGGAGTTCGCTTTGGCTCCTTTTAACGAAGAAATCCTCCTTTTGACGCCGGATTAAAGCCACGTCAGTGATGTCACCTTTCCGAATAATCTATCCTTCTAAACGGAAACGGATATAGATGGAATTTATTTTTGAAACTTTTACTTGGGAGGATGGTGTTAGTTGGTTTTGCGAGTAATAGCTTCCAGCTACGCTGTACATCTATATGCTGGTTGATTTTGGTGTAATTGGATGCAGAAATGTATAGTTGAAGAGCTCTTACCTTTTAAAATATTGGGTAAATTTGTTAAAACCTCCTTAAAGTTTTTGGATGTTGAAACTCTTTCTGATGTTTGATAATTGCAATCATTTTTGCTGAATTTTTTGATGTAGTTGTATGTAGATTCCCTTAGTTAGAAATTTAGAATATTCTAAAAAGAGACAAAAATGTCTAAAATATTCATACAATTACTTTTGACAAAATATTTATTTTTCAAATGTTCTCTTCATATGAATCATTAGCTTAAACCCTTTCAATCCCTTTTTTGAAATTGATTTATTTTCTAAATTTGTCATTCATATCAATCATTCAAAGGGAAAACTACAACTTTAAATTCTCTATTTTTATTTGTTGTTTATGAAATTTATATTGCTTTTTTTCTGTAAAAACCAGCCTCAGTAGTAATTGTATGAACATTTTAGACATTTTGTGTCTCTTTTCAGAAGATTCCGATAGAGAGGATTTACTTACAATTATATCAGAAAGTTCAGGCGAGATAATTGAAATTATCAAACTTTAGTGAAATTTTCAACATTGATCACAAACTTCAGGAAAGATTTCAATAATTTACCCAAAAATTAAGTACCGGTGATAGGGGTGTGCTTCTGTACCAAGTGGAAGGTTGACGTGACCATGTAAGTCATCCATTCAATGGAGATATTTTAGTTTCAGATTAGCCAAATATTGTCTCTAGTTTAAAGCCTAAGAAACATAATAAGTAATTTAAGGTGGGTTTTGCTTGAAAGAAAGGACAGGGAAAATTAAAGGAAATCTATACGTTATAGGTTTCTTATCCTTCTTTTTCCTTCCTTTTCTTAAATAAATTCCCAAAAATATATCATGTAAGTATTAACTATGAGGACACAATTAACAAACAAGTGATTTGAGCACGGTTGTAGTGGTATAAAATTAAGATTTCTGGTCTTTATTAGCATGACTAAAGGATTTACTCTTCCTGACCCCAAAAAAAAATCATGGGATATGGTGATAGTGGAATTTGATGGCATGTGGGATGACATTTTCCTAAAATATTTTGGCTATTTTGGAAGCCTGCAGCGAATAGCATCTCATAATGAGTGTGGGTAAAATAGTATTTACACTCAATACCTTTTTAGTTGAAAAGACAAATGAGGATCTGAATTAACTAAGTATCTGTTTGGCATCGATGTTGTTGCTTCAGAAAATGGTAACACATCAGTGTAATGTTGGAAAAAACAGTGCTCTAGGAAATGTCAGTATGTTTGGAACCGTTTTTTTAGGCACTCCTTGGAAATCAAGAAGGCGTCGTTTGGAGCAATGTCAAATTTGATGCTTTCTTAGATTGGAGCTCATTGTTGCCAATGAGAACATGATGTGGACTTCCTATAATGGGTACCAGTGCTGAAAATAGATATGGAGCATTGGTACCAAACAGAAAATGTTGTTGTTGCTCCATAAAACGTCATACTTGACAGCAACGTTTCCAAACAAAAAAAATGCACCATTTTCTAAGAAAATGATGTTTCCAACCCACACATCCAGCAGCATGGTGCTGTATTTGCAGCATCAATGCCAAACATATACTAAGGTGTCATGTGTAAAGCCTCCCAAAACATCCCAAACTATTTTTTCCAAACAACCAAAGTGAACTCAAAGATAATGCGATATAGACGAATACCATACGGGAGGAAGCAAGTTAAAGTTTTCGTCATTCCACCTATAGGTCCTATACCACATGTCCATACTCTTAAAAAGTAATGTGTCTACCAATGTTTAAAAAAGGAAAATATCTGTGATGATGGAAATACATGATATGGGAAGGGGTTTTTTGATAAAATAATTACATGATTGGTTACCACTTTAATGATATTGGTTGATTGGTTTCAGGATTTTTTGATACCATGTCCTCTCGATATCATGCTTAAACCTTTGAAAAAAATATCTCAAAATTAAATTATTTTTTTCTCTAGTGGATCTATGTAGAAGTTAGTATGGACAATTGTCCCCACTGACATTTGAAAATGTTTTATGTGGTTAAAAAAAAATTTATTTATTTTTGTTTTACAATTGCCGCTGGTCATATACAAAAGAATGACTTGTATGACACCCACGTCTCAGGGCCCATATAAAAACTTACTTAAAATCTGAAATTAAAAATGAAATAATGAGAAGTTACATGACTCTTATACCCTCTTTTTTTTTCTAATATGGCAAGCATTACCCCTATGAATTAAATAGGTCATCCTAACTATCTATTCTCTTTTCAAGTTTAGGATATGATTGAAATAGGTTAATGGATTGGGAAGGAGAAAATTGGCGAGATGAACCAAGTAGAGTTATTCCTTCTATCTTTATTCATTTTTAAGGCTTAGTTTGGGAAGAGTACAAATATAAATATGTACAGTGCAAAACCTTGTATTCTGTATTAATTTGTATTGCTAAACCTTGTATTTGCACTACACATATTTGTATTTGCAATATTTCCAAATTAAACCTGAAGGATGGAACATACTTTGAGTTTGTTGATGTATTTTTCCCAAGTGAGATCTTTTACTTGGGGTGTTCTTTTTTGGATTTTGAAATGGGAGAAAGTTGGTTAATGAGATTTTAATTCTCATTGACCAAAAAATGCATGTTCTTTCATCATATTTATGTTGGGACAAAGGAAAATTTATTTTCTTGGGTATCACTTATCTGGGCATCACTTACTTAGTGATACCCATCTCCTAGGTGGATTAATAACTTTCCCACTTGAGGGTAAAGTTGCTAACACTTGAATGAGACAAAAATGCCCCTTTTAATAATGGTTTTTTTATGGCTAAAATGGTCATTGCCTTATTTACATGGGAAATAAAAGAACATGGGTAAATGCACTTACTCGGATAAGTCTTTCCTGGGAAATACTTACACTAGTAAGTTCATTTACCCATGTTCATAACCCTTAGTTTTTCTTTAGGCCTCGTTCGCTTTTCGATAAGTTACTTATCCAAGTAAATGCATTTACCTAGGTAAGTGTTTTCCAAGAAAGACTTACCTGGGTAAGTTCATGAGAAACACTTACCTGTTTATGTTCATTTACCTATGCTCTTTTATTTCCCAAGTAAATAAGGCAATGACCATTTTAGCCATGAAAGTTCATTATTAAAATGGGCATTTTTGTCCCATTCAAGTGTTAGTAGTTTTCCTCATAGATGAGAAAGTTATTTATCCACCCAGGAAATGGGTATCGCTTTGGATAAGTGGTACCCAGGAAAATAAACTTCTCCTAGTCCCCACATAAATATGAAAAAATAACATGAGTTTTTTTGGTTAATGAGAATCAAAATCCCATTGACCAACTTCTCCCTCTCAAAATCCAATAAAAGAACGCCCCTTGAGTGAAAATATTTTAACTCCAATGTTATGACTAGGTTGTTATGATATGCTTGCCCCCACTCCTGGATTTACTATTAGGTAGATTAACGGTTTAACAACATAGGTCAAACAAGTCATATTGTGACATTACAAATAATACATTTTTAATGTTATATATCAATCATATTAAACAAAAATAAGTATATAATTTTTGTTTGAAGTTCAATAAGTATGATGAAACACAAGGTTATTATCAATAATAGAAATGGATAGAAGTAAAAAAAAAAAAAAAAAAAAAACAAGAATATGAGGTTTGTTGTCTGACTTGTACTAGGTCCAAATGGATTAAGTAGTCCCATCGATCGGCTGGCTCAACAATGGACTGAAAACATTTTAGTCTCTATGTTTTCTCCCAAGGTCTCTTGTATTGAAATTTGTCTTGTTTGATATATATTGTTGATCATAAAGCTGTGATTTAATTGAGGTAAAGGATTTGCCTCGTGAATGCTCAAGCAAGAGAACATAGAATAGGGAGAGAGATGCATAGATTAATGATCTTAGGATCTGCTTCCTAGCTAAGATGTGTTTTGCCTCAATCCAACGTCATGGAGTCTTGTTTGGGGCTTTGGACATAGACTTTGATAGTGTAATCTCAACTTTTCAATCAAAGCAAAATATTTGATTACAATATGTGAATACAACTTGAATATGACATAAAATTAGTGGGTTTGGATTCATCATAATTAACTTAAAAATGGTATATTTATACTCAAAATTTCAAGTATTAGATCATGCATGTATGTTTGTATGAATACTATATGATAGACAAGAATGACATTGAATGGTTTTATGAATTTGTTTAGGTAATTGATGATTGAATGATTATTTTACTATTTAAGTTTATTTATTATTTAATTTAAAAAGATTAATCATATTGGTTTCGTGTTAATTTGGGTTATATGTGTCATTTGGTATAGAATTAAACATGTTAATCATATTAATTCAATTTATGTGTGTCATGTAATGTTACTCGTATGATAAACATGTCGTATTCATTTTTAAAAATTTAACATGATTGATTAATCATATCATATTTAAATCAATCCATATGTCTAAATAACCTATTTCAAATAAGACACGAATACACGAATACAAACATCACAACATGAATTGCCACCCTACGTAATTAGGGGAACATGGAGAATTGAGAATAAGGCTCAGTTTGGAAAATGTATAAATGCAAATATGTAAAGTGTAAATACATACAAGATAATACAAAATATAAGGTTTTGCACTCTATACATTTGCATTTATATATAAGTAAATACAATAAACCCAAGACATGTTTATAAATATGCAAAACAAAATTTGACTTACCTCCAGCCATTGTCTTTGTTGCTTGGCAAGATAATTTTTGTCTCAAAGCTGAAGCCACATCCGATCACCTTGATGCCCCAACTCAGCAAGATAACTTTTCTCTCACTTTTTCTCTCAATTTTAGATGATGTGTGAGCAAAAGAGAGTAGTGAGAGGACAAAAATAATGGGCTTATATAGTTGTCTACCATCAAAACAGTTTTAGAAAAAGAAACCGAAACTTAATTTCGCATTACTGCTATCATTTGCACCACAATTATATAACGTTTTCACATTACACGATGCACCACAATTAATGTAACGTACACGATGCATCACAATTAATGTAACGTACACGATGCACCACAATTAATGTAACATTTTCACGTTACACGATGCACCACAATAACGTTATTAATTGGTAAAAACGTTACATTGTATTCCTTTCAAACAAAACCTAAGCCTCAGTTTGGAAAATACAAATATATACTGTATAAATACATATAAAAAACCACAAAATACAAAGTATGGCTCAGTTTGGAAGGAGTACAAATACAAATATGTATAGCGCAAAACTTTTCATCTTGTATTATTTTGTAAATAATTGTACTGTATATATTTGTATTTGTACTTTTTCCAAACTGAGCTTAAGGTTGTGTTTAGTTACAGTGCAAATTCATTTGCATTGATGCAAAACTATGATAGTGCAACTGATTTGGGTGCAAGTTTTGATTTATATTTGTTTTAAATTTTATCTTATTTTATTTGGTTGCAGTAAAAATAAGACTTAAAATAGAATGAAGTAAAATCTAAAGTAAAATTAAACTAAAATTTACTTCCTTTTTTTTCATTTACATTCCCATAAATTTGTACTAATACAAATAAAATTTGCATTACAATCAAACACATCCTAAACAAAAAAAAAAAAAGAGAGAGAGAGAAATGCAATATTATGTGTAACATCGTCGAAGTTTCAGGATTCATTGTTCATTGGTAAAGGTGGGCGGTGGGCCCATCTACCCCTTCCTACTATCTTCTACTTTTTTGAGGATACTTTCGTGCAACTCTTTGTAGCACCCATGAAAAGAGTAAAAGACAAAATTAGTCATGCCATCTCCGTTGGTCCCACTTTTTTACAAACCTCCCTTGTATCCTTCCCATTTTAGTTTTGCATGAAAATCCCTTGGTTGTGTTTATTTTATAGAAAACAAGAGAGAGTTAGGAATGGCAACGGGGCGGGGATTACATTCCCCATTCCCGACTCCAACCCCCAAATCACCCCCCAAGAGAGAGGACTGTTGCGAGAGTTTACGTCAACGATGAGAGAGAGTCCGAAGGGTGACAGTGATGGTGGTTGGCGACAATGACAAAGGTTGAAGGAAGATCTTTGTTCTTTGAGTATCTCTTCTCTTAGTTCTCTGGCCTCTGTCGAGACTCGAGACTTGAGTATCTCTTCCTCTCCTCTGTTCGATGTCCGACGGGCAAGTGGGCAGTGGTGACAGTCAGTGATGGCGGTCGACGATCGGCTAATCGGCGATAAAGACAAAGTTAGGGTTTACTAGTTCAGTCGCCTCTCTTGTCTCTTCTCTCTGTCAAAGATTGGTCGATTTTTAAAATTTTAGTCGAAGGGTTTTCTTCGAATGTTTATGTTTTACTGTTTTACGAATAAATTAATAATTATTAAAACTATATAATATAATATATAATTTATAATTATAATATTAATTGGGGGCGGGTCAGGGCAGGGATTGCATTCTCCATTCCCGTCCCCGAACCCGATCAGGGATTCAGGGACCGCCCCATCCCCGACCCCAACCCCAACCCCGCCAAAGTGTCCCTGATATCCAACCCCATCGGGGACGGGGAAAATTGCCACCTCTAGAGAGAGTGGAGAAAAAGTTTATGAGAAATTTATTATAAAATTTTCCTCAACCTTTTTGTTTCTCTTATAAATCAAAATATAACCTCATTGAAACAGAGAATTCGTTACAATATCCCAAAAAAAACACCTATATCTAGCTGTCTTGCATTTGACTTTCTCCCAAATATTAGGTTACAGCAGTTTAACTTTTATGTCGGAAAACAACTCTACATATCCAACATGGTTAGTCTGGGACCCACTGAACCTTCGTATGTCTAGCTCAATCCAACCCGGCTCTTGCTTAGGCTTATAGTTTGGGCTGGGCAGTTCATTGGCCAGTTGGCCTCATCTCATGGGTCATGGCCTGAACGTCTGTTATGATTAATTATCCTTAACTTTAGCTCAAGGCTATGGTTATACGTTGGATGAACCGACAAATACTGAAAACTCGGTAATGTAAGGGAAAAAACATGGTGAGCTTTTTTTTTTTTTTTAATATTTGGTGCCATGCATTACCAATAATAACCGTTTTTTCTCTCTAAATCGATGATCGTAGAAATTGATTCCACATCAATGTTAAAGCGAACTAACTAATATATCAACAAGTCACTTTTGATTGGTTAAAAATATGGGGAGTTGAGTATCATACCAGCTGATCTGACTTTTTTCTTCTTTGTTTTTTTTTTCACCCAATAAAAAAAAAAAAATTGGAGGAATTATTATTTATAATAATAATCCGGTTTCAGCTGATCGTAGAGTAGTGTATTGTATTATTTCTTCACCCATCAAAAGAAAGTGGAAGTGGGTATTATCTTCATACTGGTTCTAATAATAAGGCTTGACTTGATGAGGTGATATCAAAAGCCGGGCCCTATTTTCTTTTGACTGTTTCTCCTTTTAAAGAGAGACCGTGTCAAGTGATTACTGGATGAGCAAATTAAAGTTCCGCTTTAATTGTTGTGGAATGCACTGAAGAGTGACTGGTGACTTTGTGAGTGACTTTTAACCTGTATCTTTTTTTTTTTTTGTTGATATTATTAGATGGTGAGCAGCTTGATTTCAATGGATGGGCCATCTAAACTCTTAAGGCAAAGCAATGATGTAACTCCCAGCCATAATTAACGGAAAAAAAAAATTTTTTGATTCAATAAGCGGCGTCCCATCAGGATCAGGTGTCAATTCCATACCTGGATTATACCATTCCAATTTCCTACTCACTTGAAATTTGAAATCGTACACACAGGACACAGCTGTCCCTGTGCTGTGCTGTACGCCTCTTTCCTTTGTCTATTTTTCTCTTTTCCTTTTTTTTTTATTCTTTCGTTGAGATTGGCCATTGGGTAAACAAATCAATGTTGGTTCAAGGCTCCAAGCAACCAATTTATATCAATGTTGGATTCAACTATAAAAACCCCTTTATTATATTATATTAATGTATGTCTGATGTACAAATAATCTACTGAAATGAGAAGTGGGAGATTGGAGATTGGAGTGGAGACCTTCATATATAATTATTAATCCAAGGCTCATCTCGGTAAATTTTTTAAACTATCTTTATGATTTAATTAACTGACTAAGTGTATCTTTATTGTTTGAAAATTGAGTAACGTTATTTTTACTGTTTTTAACAATTGACTAATTCTATACTTATTGTTAATATTCCTCAAATTTTCATTACATGTGATATCATGTGACTAATATATTTATTGAAAATCCAGAAAATACCCTTCTCACCTCCATTCCTAAAACACCATCTCTGCAATTGACTAAATGAAAAAAGAAAACATTTAATTGGTAAAACCATCGATCAAGTTCTCCCGAGTGATGATTAAAGATCTTGGATGCCAAAACTAAAATAGTAACAATAAGGGTAGATCGATAAGAAAGGGGAACTTATGGTCAATCTGAATCCCAGTATAGTGAAAATCAACAGTCTCAACTCGATCAAGCTTACAGACAAATAAGAAAAAGACGGGGAGAGAGAATATGATGATACTTGGAATCTATCATGGAGGGTAAAACAGTCTTTTTCATATTTATATTGACAGACATTAATGATTGCGAAACATTAATCAATTGTTAAAAACAGTAAGGTAGCATTGGTCAATTTTCAAAATAAGGATAGTTTAAGAAATTTACCATCTATATATGTGTTCTGAGTAAGTGGGGTGGGGAGGAGAAATAGGAAAAAGGATGAAGTTTGGAAGGGAGTTTGTATCGCAGATGGTGCTGGAATGGCAGGAAGCTTACATGGATTATAATTATCTCAAGACCATACTGAAGGATATTCTCCGTTTCAGACAGCAACGACGGGAGACTACGCATACGGGGGAGAAAGAGAAGGGTGCTCTGAAGCGAAGAGGGTCCTTGTACAGGGCATTCAGTGGGTTAACTCGCCATTACAAGTCTGGCGCTTCCGGCGATGATCAGGATGATCAAGTGATACTGGTGAATGCAGTGCATGGGGAGGGGTCAGATGAGCGCTACGAGACCTTATTCCTCATGGCGTCGGACGAAGGAGGTGACTTCGAGCTCGTCTTCTTCAGGAGACTTGATGAGCAGTTCAACAAGGTGATTAAGTTTTACAAGGTCAAAGTGGAGGAGGTGATGAAGGAGGTCGAGGGATTGAATGAACAAATGGATACTTTGATTGCCCTCCGGATCATGATGGAGAATCCAGGTCTTTCCTTTGATGATGAATCTGTTGATTCGATATTGAACTGGGATACGTCTTCGGCGGAGAGAAGGGCTTCTGCTCGGATGAATTCCAGAGCTACTCGTACGTGTTTCTTCCATTCTTTCCTCTTCTTAATTTGATTTCTTTTTTGAAATTTTCCAGATTAATTTGGCAGTATAAGCGTACAGTAGGGATTACATATGTACGATACGATGACTAACCATCAATGACCAATGATCGATCATAGACGTACAATACACGCCAAGGGCGTCTGCGTCTTTTTGGTGCATGCGTAAGAGTATGAAAGGACTTGAACTGGGGTGACCATCCGTGACCGGGGAACTAGTGACAAGTGAACACAGCAGGAGCTCGGAGAATACATAACTCTATCCAGAGATCCTCCAACTGATGAACGTCCGCCGGCGTTCTAGCCTCTAGGTGGGGCAGCCGGGCAGAGCGCAGTGGGTGGTGTTAACAGGAGAATCGCGGGCGGCCTAGAGAAGGAATCAAAATGAAATGAAGTAGATAGACTTCCAACTTCCAACCATCTGATATTTTTGCACTGCTTCCAAAGCCAAGAATTTGGAAGAGTTTTCTCTCGATTTTCTTCCACCTTCTGCATAATTCACGGCTAACAACGTGTTATTATTAGAGTTCATTTGTGGTCCAACCAATATGGCCCATGGACTTCATTTCACCATGGTGGTATCCAGTGGGTATAGAACGTGGGACACAGTCACACGGGTCAAGTTGTTGGGCCCTAGACCATGGTAATGCTATGGTCCACTCAAGACATCATCAGTAGTTGGCCTGATGGGCCATAAAGAAGATATTTTTCTTATTTTTTATAGTGGGCTTCGTGCATAGGTCCAGAAACATGGGGTCAAGACTCAAAATATTGGGTACAACGGACAGTAGTGATTGATTGATCAAGTAGCATTTGCCTTTGGTGGGAAGTGAGAGTTAACTTTTACTACAACATTATTTCAGGGCCAAAAGCCTAAAACTATGAATCATGGCCAAAAGCCAAGAATTTTATTAAGTACATTATATTATAGAGATTTGTAACATAAACAATACAAGTAGATAGATAGATAGGGAGCAAATGAGTGAGGGAGGATACTCATGAGATTATTTTAACCTTGGTCTGTCTTTTTGGCAAAAACAAGAAAATGAGATTGGAAGTATAGGAAGTAGGGTTTAGAGAAAAATAGGGTGGGAGGGTTTGAATCTATTGTAGCTTTTTCTTAAAGAAAATAAACAATTTTTTTTTTTTAATTTTGGGAATTAAGTGAAGGGGTATTAGAGAGGAGTTCAGATCTCCTACTCACAAGAACCCTATTCACGTCTACCCATGCCTCATTACAGCTGTACATTGAGAGCATCTCCCATGTTTGCATGTTACCATTCATGGGGAGATGTTTCCAATGTACAGCTGTAGCGCTAGGCGGGTAGGATTCTTGTGGGCAAGAGATCTGAATTAGTTAGAGAGTTAGAGAGCACTTCTTAACATTTTAATGGGAATTTCTTGCTTGTTTTGGAGGGCCAAGGACCCACTTTATTACATATTTGCTACTACCTCCACCCACTAACTATATGGAGAGGAAAGGGAAACTTTGTATAGGTTTCCCTACTTTTTCCTTCAAACCAAACACAATCTAATGATTTTAACAAAAAACTTGTGGGGGGGGGGGGGGGGGTGGTCTGCAACCCCATCGCCATTGCCATGTCAATACATACATTGGAGGCTTTGATTTCATGGTTTTTGCACAGAGCTAAAGCCATGTCATAGGAAAAGTGGTGGGGTGATTACATCTAACCAAGCATGACCAAAGCCACCAATTACATGGGTATAGATGCAAAACCCTTGAAGAGGTAGAGGAGTGCAAAAAATTAAGGGTTTCTAGCATATAAGAGCAACTTTTGAGGTTTAATATCAATAAAAGTAATATATTTAAAAAAATTTCAAAAATAGGTTAACTTTTTAAAAATAATATCAATAAAAGGCAAAAACACTGTTCATTTTCTTCTTCTTGCCATTTGTTCATTAGAGCCGCCGAGCCGCCGTCCGGTGCAGAGGCGGAGGTGGCGGCGTTGGACAGAGAAACCACCAGCGCCGCCTCCGTCCACCTCTAGCAACATTGTTGGAGGCAGAGGTAGGGGTGGGCGGAGGCGGCGGCGTGCGGTGGCAGACGGTGGCGGACGGTGGCTCTGGTGAACAAATGGCAAGAAGAAGATGAATAGTGTTTTTGCCCTTTGTTGATATTATTTTTAAAAAGTTAACCTATTTTTTAAATTTTTTTAAATATATTACTTTTATTGATATTAAACCACAAAAGTTGCCCTTATATACTATTACCCAAAAATTAAAAGAGGAGAGAGGTTATATAGTAGTCATAATAGATTTGGAGAAAATGCACAGTATAAATTCATACAAAATAATACAAAATACAAGGTTTTGCATTTATACTCCTTCCAAACTGAGATTTGGAGAAAAGGCAACCAAGCCACTGATTGGCTTGCCAACAAAGTTACAAAGGTCACGAGCGCTTAATGAATTATCATTCCAAGTACTCTTAGAGAGGTCGAATTCACAGTAAATGATAGGGGCCATAGGGCCATGTCTCCTTGTTTTTAAAAAGTTTTATGCTTTCCAATGACATGGATTTAACAATTAAAATCCATGTGAATCAAACCGTTTCTTCATAAAGAACAAACCTGCTGCGACTGTGGTTGCATACGACACAATAAAATTCAACACATCAGATGAAAGAACAAAATACATGAACTGATATAATTTTTTTTCTCTTAAATATTGGTGTGTTTGTATTTCATTGGGACAGTGGTCGCATGCCGCCCAATGAAACGTGAACACGCCAGTGTTTTACACCAAACACCGGCGTTTGAGGGGTCTCCAGATTGTCTTGAGGACACTGGGATTTCATGTGGTAAATGAAAGCTTTAAGACTTTGCGACTTGCGACCCAACACCCAACCGATCCACAGGGCTGCATTTCTGATGGATGATTTGAATTGGCCTCTTCATCATCTCTACCATGTTAATTACTGAAAGTGGTGATGACCCATATACGTACCCTTGGGATTTTTTTCTTTGCTTTGTGAAGGTCCAGCCCCCATGGCTGTTATACAAGAAATTGAATTGAAGGGTGAACAGCGTCTGGAAAATCTGCACGTTAGAGCCACTGAAGAAGCACAAGAGAACAACCACAAGAACATCGGTGGAGGAAAGAAGAATATAACTTATAACTATAAAGCACCCCCTGTAGAGGTCTTGAAGAATGTGAAGATCAATATCATGCCTGAAACTCCGCGGTCGACTTTGAAAGGCTTCCTCATGGATTCCAAGACTGACTTGACATTTAGCAGGAAGGAGCTGAGGAATGTAGAAGAACAAATGAAAGCAGCGTTTAGTGAATTCTACCAAAAGCTTCGACTTCTAAAAAGCTACAGGTAACAGTATTTTCTTTGCTTATTATATTTCCTCCCAAGGAATGATAACAAAAAACCGTAAACAAATGTCATGCTCTGATTGTAATGATCAAGACTATGATATCAATTATCAAGGGTTCTTTTGATCCAAGAAGATACATGCCTTCAGAAGTTTTTTTTTTATATCTATGAACTGGAATAGGCTAATTTCTTTCTTTTGCGTGTGCATGACCTCTTCACTCATTGATATTTCAGCTTTCTTAATCTCTTGGCATTCTCCAAGATCACGAAGAAGTATGACAAGGTCAGATTCTTGAAAACTAACTACTGTTCTTTTCAATTTACTTAACTTATTCCAGGAGACTGGCTGTTTCATCTTATGCTTGTTCAGATTTACATTCATTGATCTCAGTTCATAAAATATATAGTCAATTTAATTACTTATACATGGGCAGGCTTAGATGAACTTGTGTTTGACTTTCACAGATGTGGTTAGTAATAGTTATCAGGAATGAGAGATTTTCATTGTTTTCTACTGATTATTGTCATATTGCAGATTACTTCAAGGAATGCATCGAAGACTTACTTAAAGATGGTAGATGATTCTTACATTGGAAGCTCTGATGAGGTTAGGCTTATGCACTCCTTATGAATTTTGGGAGCATAACATGCACAGTTAATCTTGTTTTAGATACTATTTAAATAAATGCATTTCAGCTTACCAATAAGGTATGTTTATGGTGGTGTTTGGGATTAATGGGTTTCACATTATCACCATTTTCATGCAGAATGGGAATACATTCTGGAGGTGATGTTAATTCAGGCAGAAACATTTCTGCAATGAGTTGCCTAGAATTTCAGGAAGAAAGATAATCCTTGAATCACCATTATGATGTGGCACATTGTAAAGTGAAACATTTCTGCAATCAGCTTGTTTCGATCAAATATATTTTTGAAAGAAATGATGCAGGATCAGGGAGGTGCATTCCTGATTTGAAACACATCTCCTCCAAAGACCCTCTATATCAGTTAATACAATGAACCAAATGATGTACATATCTGAATTTCATTGCTTTGATGATATTCTGTATTTTCATTAACTTTCCTACCATATACTTTTGCAGATCAGCAGGGTCATGGAGAGGGTGGAAACTACCTTCATCAAGCATTTTTCAAATGGAAATCGTAGAAAAGGAATGAAAATTTTAAGGCCACAAGCAAAGAGAGAAAGGCATAGAATAACATTTTCCTTGGGTAAGACCAAATAGAACGAGTAACCTCTTTTTATAAGATAGTAAAATATGATGTATGCATCTAAGCAAAGATGATCAGTTGATATTTCATTTCCATCTCAATGGTCTAATAAAAATAAATTTGTTGATCTGTTTATTGTTTTGCAGGCTTCTTTTCTGGTTGCTCAGTGGCTCTCATAGTGGCTATAACCGTGCTCATACATGCAAGAAATATCTTTAAGAGTCCCGGGCGCGGTCAATACATGGAAAACATGTTTCCACTTTACAGGTAGGTCTAAAGAGTTTACATAAAATTCATTTCACTGTAGCAAAATTCTACCATTTTTCTACTGCTTCAAACTTAAATTTAACTTATGGATTAAAAAGCAATTTAAGCTTAATTGCTTCATTATCGGAAGGTAGAATAAAGTCTCTTTCATTGTATCTTCTTACCCTTTCTAGTGTTTCCAGCTAATTCATTTCTCAATTTAATAAATAATCTTATTTTGTTGCAGTTTGTTCGGATTCATTGTTCTACATATGATTATGTACTCTGCTAATATATTCTTTTGGAGGCGTTATCGTGTCAATTATCCATTTATATTTGGCTTTAAGCAAGGAACAGAGTTAGGCTACAGAGAGGTCTTCTTTCTCAGTGCGGGCCTTGCCGTACTTTCATTAGCCGGTGTCATCTCCAACTTAGACATGGAAATGGACCCAAAAACACAGAGCTTCAAGGCATTAACTGAATTAGTTCCCTTGGGCCTAGTCGCTGTATGTTTCTTATGGAAGCTAAGCTTCTCACTCTCCTGTTGATATATGGATTAAGCCTGTGACAATTTGTAGTCCTTAGTGTCAACAATTGTATTTTTCTTACTAGATCTACCTGCCATGTCATATGCCCACATATTTATAAGGGAAATAAAACAAGATGACTCTTAAAATTGTCTGCTAATATGAACTACTTGCATAGTTTTTTTCCATACCTGTTGAAACAAATCTTTCCTGAATATGTGCTTCATGAACTAATATACAGAAGAAGATGCATGAAGGACATAATCAGGGTTGTATTTAGTGGTAATTATATGGAAACTCTGAAGCCTAGTGTCTTTTCTAGTTAGATGAGATGGGATTGCATTTGCCTAACAATCACTACTGGTATTTATTTTTTGCAGGTTGTGATTCTTATAATGTTTTGTCCTTTCAACATAATATATCGTTCAAGTCGCATCTTTCTTCTCCGATGTGCATTACATTGCATTTGCGCTCCTCTCTACAAGGTAACAAGAAAAAGGAATTGATGGACCTGGATAGAGAAATCAATACTGAGATTTTAATTTTAATTTTCATTTCTTTTGCAGGTTACACTCCCAGATTTTTTCTTGGCAGATCAGTTTACTAGCCAGGTTCAACATCAACATCTTGATTCCTGAAACTCAGACATACAGTAATTAGAATTAGAACAGAGCTTCCTAGAATGTTTTAAAACCATGGATACTCTGCCACTCCAAGATGTTTGAAGTATAAACCTGGACTGCATTTATATGTAAATGCATCCGGAGCATGGACACATATCTCCATTAGAAACACGTGTGATTCCCACAGTAGTTCTTTTTGTCTGCAGTTATCTAGAGAATGCCTTAATTTATTATCTCTATTCTTTTGTTGGTTTAAAAACATTTTTCAGTAGTATTGGTTTTTGTTTGGCACATGTATGAAGTAGCAGTATATAATTGTACATATTCAGTACTTTGTGATAGCTAACAAGCATTCATGGTTATGTCATTTCAGGTTCAGGCCCTCAGAAGCTTGCAATTCTACATCTGTTACTATGGTTGGGGAGACTTCACAAAGAGAATGAACAAGTGCAATCGCAGCGATATTTTCAACACCTTCTCTTTCATTGTAGCAGTAATCCCCTTCTGGATTCGCTTCCTTCAGGTAGCTCCCTCTGTCTTACATTCTCATAAAATGTCTGTAACTCTGTATATTATGCTTCGGCTAATAAAGTTGTACCTTTTTAGTGCCTTCGACGCTGGGTTGAGGAGAAAGATGCAATGCATGGATATAATGCATTGAAAAGCTTGTCAACGATCATTGCAGTTGCCATGAGAATAGCTTATGATTTGAACAAGGGATCGACTCTAAAGATCATGGCTGCAGCCAGTTCAGCCATTGCTACAATTGCCACTACATACTGGGACATTGTGATTGATTGGGGCCTTCTGCAAAGGAATTCAAGAAATCGTTGGCTGAGGGACAAGCTCCTTGTACCTCATAAAGCTGTCTATTTTGTAGCCATGGTAATCAAAGATTTGTCAAAGCAGCAGTACCAAGATTTCCATGACTATTTCTTTTGACATTTTTCTCTTCTTAATTAATGGATGCAGTCAGTGTTGGGTTTTTATGAAGTGTTCTTCCTACACAGAACTGCTGTTACAGCCATTGTTGCTTGCTTGGAGATCCTTCGCCGTGGGATATGGAATTTCTTCAGGTATGTTACATCTCATTTCTACAAACTGGTTGGCAGAGGTAACATCATATATCAATAAGATCCGAGCAACACATTTCAGTATTTCCTTTTCTGCTTTTCATAAGCCCACATTTCACTAATGAAAGTTGGATGATTAATTGACACAGATTGGAAAACGAGCACCTAAATAATGTTGGGAAATTTCGTGCATTCAAGTCAGTGCCACTTCCTTTCAGCTATGACCATTAATTACAATATTGAAAGGCATTCGGTATTCCAGATTCTGTGTCTGGATATTTTGCAGAATATGTAAATATTTTCTTTAAAAAAGAAGAAAACCCTGACAAAGGTTTTGTATTTAAATATTATAGGCTCTTAGCATAGTTTGGTCATTGGGGGGGCTCATGTCTATAGACTATAATATAATACTTTTCTCTGAACTGGACGTTCAAACCCCAACGAATGCCTATTCATTCTCAAACGCGGAACGGAAGAGCAAATAAAAACCCAAATTTTGACCGGTTCATTTTGCTTTTTCTGCTGGAACGATTTTGACCGCTCATGATATTATATATTAATTTCCTACTAGACTAGTTTGCTTTTTCATTTCTCGAAAGGTGTCAAATTGGAATTGGAAATCAACGTTGGCGACCATGTGGGCTCTCTGGTTGAATGGAACAAACTTAAACTTAAAGAGACTTCTGAGATGTTTCCATCAAATAGACAAATAGTCTTATCCATAGAAATGGGGCTAGCTACCAATACCAAGGACAGAAAGGGCATGCTGGTTGATGATAATATGTTATAGACTTATATCCCAAATTAAAACGGTTCTGTTTACTTTTGTCACAATAGCCACGTGGCAAAAAAGAATAATAAAATAATACACAGAGAAAGTAAGGTGCAATGGTGGAACCTGGAGGGGTCAATGGCTCATGGGCTCATGGCAGTCCTCAGTGTGATGGATTATTTTGAAATTGCAATGGGTCATGGGCTCATGGCATTGTTAAACTAGTTTTCATATTTTTTCTTTAATTTCCCTTTTCTTTCACGACCTAGTAAAAATTTAAAAACAATTTTTTGCTTATATTAAATTAATATAATTATCTGAAAAAAGAATGTATCCCAAGCTTCCCGCGTCGCATCTCATCCGTCCATCATATATTATATACCAACCCAAGCCCACCCTAAATTAAACCCGACACAAATCGGAATGGCCTTGAACGTGTGTGGGCTTTGACAGATTTACTTTGGCCTGGGTGGGTTTTTTGGGCTTCGAAGTCTTTTCAATTTTACCTCTCATTTTTGGGCTTTGTAATCCAATTTTGAGATGGAAAAAAAGAAATTCATGTGGGCTGGATGTGTCTCAACTCTGGATCTCCTACCCATAAACTCTTGCCACACACTGTGCATTTGGGATTTGGGAACATCTCACCGTAAATGACAAGAGAGATATTTTGAGGAGTATTCTACTATGTCTATTCTTTTCAAACCTGGACAATGGAGATGGACCACAAAACTGAAAACCATATATGGCTTTGACTAAATTTCTTCTTATGGGATTAGTCACCTGTATGATTCTTAGACTATCCGCCAGAATTTTCGCTGCATCTCCATTGACTGGTTATCCTCCCAGATTTATTCTTGGCAGAGCAGCTAAGCAAACTGCAGGTTGGTTGTAAATGTTTATTAGCAAAGGCATTCATCCATTATGCAAGTTTACAATACTGTGCCTCCCTAATTCCCATATTCTATGATACGGAAACATGTTTTACAGTACTAGTAGTAATATTGTAAAAGTGTTTCCTTGGCTGTAAATGTTGTACTTACAGCTTTGTAATGTTTCACTTTGTCATTACTGTATCTGGGTTCATCATTGTTTTGTGAAAATAAGAGTGGTCATAACAAAGCCACAAGTGCAACATTTACAGTCCCAGGTGTAGCTTGAGGTAACAATACCGTAAAACAACTTAATTCTGTAAAAATGCTCAAATGTAAATAGAAATGGAAGCTATGTCACAGCACTCTCTCACTCAATTTCCATACAATTTGATGCGTGTTTCAGCAGCTCCCTACTGGCAGGTAAGTCGGATGCCTGGCTGAAGAGTTTCTAGCCGGAAGGTGGCTCTGACACTTAGCTGAATAGTTCCTAGTTAGAAGGTGGCTCGGACTCTTAGCTGAACAGTTCTTAACTGGAAAGTGGCTCTGACGCCTAACTGAACAATGACAAGTTGTATAGTTTACTAGGGCGACCTGCAAGGAAACAGTGTCAGAGTGCCCGGGTTTCTTTACCCAGGGTGGGCACTCCGATGCTTAAGTCAACGAATCCGAGATTTTTTGAGAGAGCTAAAAGCGAAAGAAATAAGAGAGCTGTGAGAGCTAAATTGCGCATGTACCTTGTGAGGTTGGAGGTGAGGCCTATATATAGGCGTTGTTTGGCGTGGGCTTCATGCATCGCGTCCTAGATCTCCGGGTGACGTGCCTAACTAGTCCAAAGTCCCCGGAGGTAGTCATGCACGTAGGCTAGTCTGTGTGCCTTATTCGATTTCCTCTGAAACATTCGATGTGGGAACCAACTTCCGAGAGACCCGAGAGTGGCGTGATGCATGCAAAATTGGTTGGCGAGCATGTCTCGTAGGTCGCCACCTAAACCTCAATCAGGTCAGCAAGCCCTCAAGGGAGGTCGCTCCTCTCGTCGAGCTCACTTTGGTCGATACTAACGAGGTACCACAGGTCGGCCCTAGACGAGGTGTTGCTAGCCACCCTGAGTTGTGGACGAGATCGTTAGCTAGGTTTCCACTGGGTCAATGGAGGTAGGTCGCCAGGTTGACGGTAGAGGCAAGTCAACAAGTCGGCGGAGGCAATTCGCCAGGTTGACGGTTGAGGCAGGTCGTTAGGTCAACGATGGAGGCAGGTCGCCAGGTCGGCGATGGAGGTAGGTTGCCAAGTCGGCGGAGGTAGGTCACCAAATGGGACTCCATCATTTTGGCTAAGGCAAGTCATCGCCTATGTGGTGTCGGGATGTCATCTAGCTGTTCCGAAATGCAATGTGTCATGATGTTAGTGGAGGGTCAAATCTACCCTCATCACTATTCTATTGCTTATCCTCAAAGGTCTAATGAAATACGACATTCTATAGGATATATATACCTCATGGTTGAATATCAAGTCTAATAACTAATGGGTGAATTGCTGAAATCTCCCTTGAACTTTTTGGCATAGTTGCAAATAGATTCCTTTTGGTAGAATCCTCTAAATGAAAATGCTCAAAATATTCATATAATTATTTGACCAAAATGTTTATTTTTCAAGTTTTCTCTACACATGAATTTTTACTTCAAACCCTTCCAATCTCTTTTCTGAAATTGATTTATTTTCTAAATTTACCTTTAAATCAATGGCTCAAAGCTAAAGTTGCAACTTTAAATTTTCTCTCTCTATGTTTTCATAAAGTTTATTATTTTTTAAATAAAAACTAGCCTCAATAGTTATTACATAGATATTTTAGACATTTTTATTCCTCTTTTTATAAAATTCTAACAAAAAGGATCTACTTGAAACTGTATCAAAAAATTTAAGAAAAACGATTGCAATTACAAAACTACAAAATTTTAGCAATGATCCAAAACTTTAGAAAAGGTTTCATAATTTACTTATAACCAATTGGCCTATCTAAGAAAACCTTTTGATTGGAATTATTGTGGACCTGTGGTGGGTAGTCTATTAGAAAACATGAAAAGGGATGTCACTACTTAAAAGCAAGTTGGGTTCCAGTCCATTAAAATTAGGTCTCAAAAATGTATGATCTGTATCGATAAAGAAGGAAAAATAAAAATATCTTCCCCTGTTCATTGAGTTCAAATCTGCGCCCCATCCGCTCTCGCCCCACAAATGTCCCACACGCCCGTAGTGTGCCATCTGTCCCCCC